GAGGCAGCCTGGCTCCGGGCCGTGCCCCCTGCGCTGTGTCCCCTGGGCAGAGAGCCTGGCCTCAGGGCGGGCCGGGCAGGGCCCCCTCAGGGAGCAGGGTCCTGACAGCAGCGGCCTCTTGGAGAGCTGGTGGCCCCTGCCCAGCCTCGGCCCGTCCGCCCCGCACACGCTGCCTCCTCCAATTAGCTCCGGGCAGTGCGGCGCCAGCACCCGGCCGGACCTGGGTGGGGGCGGGGATGGGGGCTGCTGCTCCCTCTGGCTGCTGGGTGCCCGGCCCTGGTGCGTGGGTCGGAGCTGCTGGGGGGCCCAGCCTGCACTCAGGGCCCCCTACATACAGCAGAGGGCACCCACTCCCTCCGAGCTCAGCCAAAGCCTCCCGGGCACCTGGGCAGCCATACCCCCCGAGTCCATGCCCCGGTGTCCCCGCCTGCCCACGGGGCCTGGTGCTGGGCTGGTGTGAGGACTGGCGCCCCCTGAACGGGTGACCTGTGGCTGAGCCAGCGGCTGGGGTCTGTCCATGGGCGCCCTGTGCAGGGACCCGAAGGGGCCCACGCAGCTCAGGCCCCGGGGCTGAGGCCGGGACTCGGGCAAAGCTTGCAGGGCTTCCTGGAGGCAGCGGCAGGCCAGCAGGTCCCAGGGAAAGGGCATCCTCTGGAGGCAGGCGGCCGGGCAGGGGGAGGCGCCGGGCAGGGGGGAGGCCGCGGGCTGCCCGGGGCCGGGCCGGGGCTCCTGCGCAGCGGCTTGTTTATTCTTGGCAGGAAGGCTGTGCTGGGGCGGGGGGTGGGGGGGACGCAGCCTTTTCAAAAAATAATAATAATAGAAACGCTGGTTCAGGAGCGCCGACAGCCTCGGAAAAAACGCCGAGAAGGTCTAAGTGTAAATGGACCCAAAACATCATAATTAAATTTCCCTTAAATTTACCAGAGTTTGGGGTCAAAGAAAAAATAAAACGGAGGGAAAATACACTTGAGGTTTTAGGCAAATGCCAAGTGCTTAGGAAAATAGATTTCTGAGCTGCTCGGCGGCTACCGGCCTGGCCCCCGCCAGCCCAGCCCGGGAGATGCAGCCTTAACCCCTCCCTGGCCGCCTCCAGCCCCACCACGTTCCTGCCCTCTATCCCCCCCACCCCCACCCCACTCCCCCCACTCTCCCCACCAGCCACCTCCAGCCCCGCCACGTTCCTGCCCCCTATCCCCCCCACCCCACCCCACTCCCCCCACTCTCCTCACCAGCCACCTCCGGCCCCGCCACGTTCCTGCCCCCTATCCCCCCCACCCCCACCCCACTCCCCCCACTCTCCTCACCAGCCACCTCCAGCCCCGCCACGTTCCTGCCCCCTATCCCCCCCACCCCACCCCACTCCCCCCACTCTCCTCACCAGCTACCTCCAGCCCCCGCCACGTTCCTGCCTCCTATTCCCCCCCCCTACTCCCCCCACTCTCCTCACCAGCTACCTCCAGCCCCTCCACAGGGCACAGCAGCCCTGGGGCCCGGCTGTGGCGGGAGCTGGGGGCCCCCCCCTGCCTCGGTTGGAGCCCAGGGCAGCCTAAGCCCCCTCCCTCCTGTGTCTCCTCTTGCCCATCCGGAAGCAGCCACGTTTTGCGAACCTGAAGTCAGGGCCTGAGGTCCCGTGGCCAGAGAGAACAGGGGGCAGAAAGGCCGGACCGTTGGCTGGGCCCTCCGGCACCGGGGCCGGCGGCGGCGCTCCGCCATGACTCAGGCCGCGGCCCTTGTCGCCCGGCCCGCCGGGAAGCTCGGAGCCGGTGACGGGCATTCGCCGGCAGAGGCGGGGCTGGCCGGGGCGTTTGGAACCACCTTCTCTCATCAGTGTTCTTCAAAACCCCATTTCCGTGGTCACGGGCCAGTTTTTACCCTAATCCTCCTCAGTGTTCTGAGAATAAACCGAAATGGCAGGCATCGCCTACCGTCGGCCACAGCCATGGCCGTCCTCGGCCCAGCGCAGGGAGTTACAGCCCTGGGGCCCCCGTGGCTCCCGGAACGGGGGTGAGGGCCGGCCGCCCGTGAGCTGCCAGGGCGGGGCGAGCCTGGGAAGAGGGGTCGAGACTGGGCAGAGGGCACAACCCTGGGCCAGGCGCTCCCTCCGGGCGTGAGCAGGGCCTGGCATCGGCCTGACGGGCAGGATGGACGCTGCGGATGGCACCGGGGGGTGGTTCGGGCCACATCGGGAGGGGCCTGGCTGCACGCCCCTCACTCCACGTCCCAACATCAGCCTGGCCTGGTGCGGGGAGAGAGGAGGGTGAATGCAGGCCCCGCTCCCCGGCACCCGCTCCCCCCTCCCCTCCCACGAGGCCTTTCGGAGCTCACAGCATCAGCACAGGCCCCAGCAGGCCACGGCTCTGAGTCACCGGCCGGGCCGGGCCGGGCCGGGCTGCCCTCAGCCCTCCCACACTCACCTTCCCCCAGGAGACCCGTGGGCATGGGCTTGGGAGACGGGTGGGCGTGCGGGGGGGGCAGGGAGGTGAGTCCTGAGGGGCGCTCTGCCGCGGGCGCCCTGTCCAGGGGCTCAGCGCGGCAGCCGCACGGCCTGTGCTGTGAGAGGTCGCAAAGGGTCCTGGAGCGTGGCCGGGCTGTGGCGCGTCAGGCTGCTGCTGGCTGGTGTGCGGGAAGCGTGACGGAGGTGGTGGTGAGCAGGGCCTGGCCTGAGGGACACGCCACACTCCGGGGGGACGCGGACGCCTCGTCTCCTCTCTGCCCACACCTCCGGGCAGCCCCTCCCGGGCCGCGGCCGCCTCCTCATGCCGGCCAAGCGGGACGCTCAGACCCTCTGGCAGCAACCTGGCTGGGTCAGCCCCGGCCACCAGAGGCCCTGACCTGGAGGGGCGTCCCCAGGGACCGGGCAGAGGGCGTGGGGGGGGCAGAGGGGCCGTCCAGGTCCTGACCCCGACCCTGCCGTGTGCGTCCCTTTGGGATCAGGGTCTTTGCAGGTGCAGCTCTGCAGGCGAGGGGCCTCCTGGGGAGATCACGATGGGCCCGGCACCGATGACCGTGGCCTGTCCACCATGGGAGGCCATGTGACCGCAGGGGCAGGGGCAGGGCTGGAGTGAGGCAGCCGCAGCCCGGGCGCCGGAGCCCGGAGGCTGGGAGGCAGGCGCCGGAGCCCGGAGGGAGCGGTGAGGGTGAGGGGCTGCAGGTGTGGGGTCGGCCCCGGTCTGCTCGCCTCCCCGCCGGCCTGGGAGAGGCAGGAGGCAGGTGTGCCGGGCCCTGCCTGCTGGCCAAACCCTCACAGCAGCCGGAGGGCAAGAGGCAGTGGACGCCTCCGATGGTGTGGCTGGTGGGGACAGGACGGGGGTGGGGGGACTTAGAGAGCAGCCACTTGGGCCCTCAGTACCCCCAACAGCCTGCCCAGGCTCAGTGCCGGAGGCAGGGAGCTACCCGAGGAAGCGAAGGATGCTCCCCTCTGGGCAGGGCGGGGACCGACTGGGGACACAGGGCCCTCGGGCCTCAGGAGGGTCCTGTGGGAGGCCAGCCGTGGGTGACTGACCCCTCCTCGCCCCCGCCTCCGACCCCGGCCGGCCTACCAACTTCACCTAAAGGAAACCAGGGGTTCAGGCCCACGGAGCCAGCCCCCACACCCACCCTGCAGCTGAATAGTGACTGATGGACAGATTGGGGCTGAGTGTGTCCCGGGCCCTGGGCTGCATCCTGGGGAGGGCCCGTGTGGTGGCCTGGGCTGAGACTGGGGTGAAGGGACGGCCTGGGAGACACGGCCTGGGCAGAGCAGGGGGTGGGGTGGCGGGAGGGGCAGAGGTGCTGCCTGCGGGCGGGCCAGAGGGCTCCCTGGGGCTGGGCCCTCCCTGTGCCTCCAAGTCTGGCCTCAGAGGTGGGGGCCGTGCTTAGCCCAAGCAGCCGGTCACAGAGGGTGCTCATGCCCATTTTCCAGGTGAGCAAATTGAGTCCCAGAGCCACCCCCAGGGGGCCCCTCTCTGGCTCCTGCGGACGCTGACCCTCCTGGGCGGCCTGAAGGCGGGCGAAGGGCCTCTCCCTGTGAAGGTGGCACAGGAGCCGTCCCCTGGGGTCCTGGCAGCGGGCACACCTCAGGCTTTGCCCCTAGCTCCCAGGAGCTTCCTAACTCCTGGCCTCCATCTGATGCCTCCTGAGGGGCAGGGGAGAGACCGGGCCTCTGGGGCAGCTCAGCTACAGACATGCAAACAGGCCGAGCGGCCCTGCACCCCGGCCATTGCACGGGGCACCCCGCCCCTCCACGCCGCACCGAGGGGAGCTGCGCACACCTCGGGGCTCAGCGGGAGCAGCTCCTTGGGGACCCCCCCGAGCGGCGGGAGGTGCGGGGGCGCCGGGCGATCCAGGTCTGCGCTGGGCCTCCCTGCGCGCCCGGCGGGGGGCCGGGACCCCCCTCGCCTCCCCGGGGCTCCCACGCCCTCCGAGACCGCCCGGCGCCCCCGCGGGCCTCACCCGCGCTAATCCCCTCGGCGGGCAGGAGCGCCGCCCCGCCCCCGGCCCGCCCCAGGGGAGGGAGGGGCCGGTGGCGGGCGGCGGGGCGGGGCGGGCGGCGGGCGGCCCTCTGGCTGCCGCGCCGGCCGGGCTCAGTGCGCGGCGGCGGCGGCGGCGCGGGCAGCGGTGCCGCGTCCCTCCTGGTCGCCGGACACGCACCGGCGGCGCGGAGAAGGGGCCCCGCAGCGGGCGGCGGGCGCAGGTCGGGGCGGGGGCGGCGGGCGGGCGGCGGGCGGCGGGCGGGCGCGGCTTCCCGCTCCGGAAAGTTTGCCGCCGCCGCCGCCTGGGAGGGCGCAGCGGCCGCCGGGAGGGAAGGGGCGGAGGGAGGCGGCGCGGGCGGCCCGGAGCGCTGGGCGGCGGCGGCGGGCGGCCGGGGTCCCGGGGCCGGGCGCGGGGCCGCCCCCCGGCCCCGAGTCACCGCGCCGCCTCCCGCAGACCCCGCGCGAGCGCGCCTCCCGCCCCGAGCGGAGCGCACGGACGGACGGACGGACATGGGCGGCCAGCCCGCGCGCACCTAGGGCGCCGCCGCCATGGGCGCCCCGGCCTGGGCGCTGGCGCTCTGCGCGGCCGCGGTGGTGGCCGGCGCCGCGGGGCCCCCGGGCGCGGAGCGGCGCGGCGCGCGGAGAGTGGCAGGTAAGCGGCGGCGGGGCCGGGCGGCCCGGGGCGCGGGTCCGAGGGCGCGGGGACTGGCCGCGGGGTCCGCGGGCGCCGTCGGAGGGCGGCCGCCTCCCGGTGCGGGCTGCGCTGCGCGCCGTGCGCGGCCGGAGTCTCCGCCGTCGGCGCGGCCCCGCGCCCTGGCCCGGCTCCCGCAGCGCCGGTCCCGGCGGCGGGCGGGCTCGGGGGGGAGAGGAGCGATGCCCCCCGGGCCCGCCGGTGGGACGGGTCTGCGCCCGCGGACGCGGACCCCGCCGGCCGTCAGGGCCCGGGACATGGGGGTCCCGGGGGCCGCGGGCGGGCAGGGCGGCAGCGGGTCTGTGCGCCCGGCCCCGCCCGCACGCGCCGCCCGGGTGCGGGGCTGCCGCCGGGGCCGGGCGCGGGGAGCCCGCGGGGGGCCGTCCCCTCGGGCGCGGCCGCCGGGGCTGCGGGCACCCTGCCCCCCGCCGGGCGCGGAGGGCGGCCGCGGGGAGCCCGGCCCCGCCCGGCGGGCGCCGAACAGCCGCGCCTTTGTGCCGGCGGCCGCAGGCGCAGGGCCGGCGGGAGGTGCGAGGGCCGGGCGGGGGCCGGCGGGCAGATGGCGGCGGGACAATGTCATTTTATGAATGAAGGGCCGCCGAATGGCGTGTCCCTCCGGCAGACAGGGGCCGCGAGGTCAGCGCGCGCTTTTGGCGCCCGCTCCCAGGGGCGCGGCCGGGACCCCGTTGGCGTCCCCATCGGCATCCCCATCGGCCGTTCAATGAAGACATTACCCGCCCCTGTCAGCGAGGGGCGGCGCCGGCCAGGCCCTGCACCCCGGCCCTGCACCCCTCTGCCGGGGCCTGGGGCTCCCCTTCCACCCGGGATGCGGCAGCGGCCAGACGGGCAGGAGGGCCCCAAGCCGAGGCCGGGAAGGAGCCGGCTCCTCGGAGCGCCCTCCCCGCCCGGCCCGCGGAGCTGGAGGAACAGGTAGTGAGTGGATAAGTCAATAAACTTAAGCCGGTTCCTCCGAGAGGCGGGCGGGCAGGAAAAATACAAGGTTCCCGTGAAATTTCCAGAGGTCCCGCCGGCCCTCCCCCGGGACACGAGCCAGGAGCCAGCTGGCCGGGGTCAGGGACAGTGGGGCCCGTGTGTGCTGCCGGCCGCCCGGCCCCAGCAGCAGCCCCTGCTTCCCAGGGGGCCCTGCTCTCCCGGGGCAGCAGGAGGCACCCCTGGGCTGGCCTGCCGGCGGGGGGGTCCCTGTGCTGAGCATTCCCCGGGAGGGAGGCCTGGCTGCTGCCTCTCCCGCCTCCTCCGTCCTGGGCGGCTGGACTTTGAGCCTCCGCGGCCGCTGGTGGTTCATTAACCCGGCCCGAGCCCAGCCCCCTCCCCCGCCTCAGGGCCCCCGGGGGCTGTGAACCAGACTGATCGCTGAGCCCCCGGGCTGAGAGGAAGCTGGGAGACGGCGGCCTGGCAGCCTGGTTTATCCCTCGGGTCCCAGGGGGCCGTCCCTGAGTGGTGGCGGCCTTCCCGCACGGAGCGATGGCACGGTGTGCGGGCCGCCCGATAACTGGTCTCCGTGCACCCGGGGGGCCAGGACATGCTGCTTCCGAGGTGTGCTATCTGAGTGCAGGACTCAGGCAAAGGTGAAGTCCCAGCCCTGTCCGCAACGGCAGGCCGCCGGGCTGACCCGCCACGCTGCTGTGGCTAGTTAGGTGCGTCCTGGCAGGCACCCAGTGGGTGGCTTTGGTCTCGGCCCGCCCCCCTGAGCTTGTAAGGCCCAGTGTTGGCCACTGACCCCGTCTCAACGGCCTGCAGAGGAAGGGTCTCTCCGGGAGGAGGTGGGCCCCGCCTGCCCACGGGCCACGCCAGCCTGCGTGGCTCACAATGAATGAGCTGGAATGGGGGCTGTGCTTCCTGACCCCTGACCCCTGGCCCTGCCTGGGCTCCTCACCTGCCCCCGGAGACTGATAATGGAGGGGTTGTAGGAGGATTAGGCGGATAATCTCTAAACCCTCATTAGCCCGCCCAGCCCCCCGGCCCCCTCCCCCTGACTTGGTTATGAAACTTTCCAGGTTTCCGGGGAGGGGCAGCCAGAGCTTTCCCCCGGGGCCAGGGTCCCTCCGCAGCGCCTGTCCCTGGTCGGGCACGAGCCTGGGCTGCGGGCTCCGTCCCCCGAGTGGGGCGTGCCGGAGGCAGCCGATCCCTGATTCTCTCATCACGGGTGCTCTCTCTCCCCTTCGTCTCTGAGATCGATGAAGATATATATGTTTTAAAAACAAAGCAGCTTCCACACTCCACACCGGCTCTGTCTCTGAGCGCCTTCAGTCCGAGCTGGATGCTGTGTCCCCGCTGACACCACGCACTCCACCCTGTGGCTCTCTGGGGTCCATGGCTGTCTATGAGGTCCCCCATGGCTCTCCGTGGGGTCCCCCATGGCTCTTCCTGGGGTCCCCCATGGCTCTCCATGGCTCTTCCTGGGGTCCCCCATGGCTCTTCCTGGGGTCCTCCATGGTTCTCAGTGGGGTCCCCCATGGCTCTGAGTGGGGTCCCCCTGGCTCTGAGTGGGCCCGTGCGTTGGGTCTGCAGGGGGAAGACTGGCCTGGTCTGGGAGGCTCTGGCCTATGCAGGCACCCTGCTGAGCAGGTGGTGGGCAGGTCAGCCCCTCACCCCTCACCCCTCAGCCACCTCTGCAGATGGCTGCCGGGTGTGTCTGACCTGGGGCGCTCTGTCCCTCCGGCCCCGGCTGGACTAGGTTGAAGCCAGTCCTTGTGCCGACGCCTCCCTGCCCAGGCCAGACCGGAACCAATGCTGTTGCCCTTGGCCGGGGCCTGGGGCTGAGGCTGCCCCCCAGCCCATTCTGGGCCTTGTGGGGGGCCTCTGCCGGCTCCCGGCACTGGGTGGTCCCCGCAGGACACAGCGGCCAGGCTGGGGGCTGCACCACGAGGTCCCCACGGACACGGACTCAGACGCTTCCGCACACCCTTCCCGTGGGCACAGGGCCGCGGTGGGGGCCAGGCCGCCTGTCCGGGAGCCGGGCCCCAGAGGGGCAGCTGGGCTCGAATCTAGGCCACGCGCCGGCAGAATGACAACGGCGCTGCCGACCGGCGGGCGGGCGGGGGCCTGTGCGGCCGGACCACCCGGCCGGTCCTGGGCCTGCAGCCCGGCTGCCGCCTCGCCCGCATTGTCTGGCCTGGCAGGGAGGCCGGGTGGTGGTCAGCCCAACCGGCGGCGTGTCCTTGGGTCTCCGGCCTCGCTGGCCTCCAGGGAGCTGGGCAGCCCCTGAAGTGCTGAGGTGGCCTCCTCCTGTGATATTTTTTTTTTTAAATATATTTTATTGATTTTTCATAGAGAGGAAGAGAGAGGGATAGAGAGTTAGAAACATCGATGAGAGAGAATCATCCATCAGCTGCCTCTTGCACACCCCCCACTGGAGATGGGCCCGCAACCAAGGTATAATACATGCCCTTGTCCGGAATCGAACCTGGGACCTTTCAGTCCGCAGGCCGACGCTCTATCCACTGAGCCAAACCGGTCCCGGCCTCCTGTGATATTTTTTAAAATGTGTCTTTTTATTGGTTTCAGAGAGGAAGGGGAGAGAGAGAAACATCAATAACGAGAGAGCATCGTTGATCAGCTGCCTCCTGCACGCCCCCCACTGGGGATGGAGCCTGAAACCCAGGCCTGGGTCCTGACCCGGATTCGAACCCTGACCTCCTGGTTCCTAGGCCGACACTCAGCCTCTGAGCCACGCCGGCCCGGCCCCTCTTTTTTTTTTTTTTTTTTTTTAATTTAGCTTTTACTTTTTTTTTTAATATATATTTTTATTGATTTTGTACAGAGAGGAAGGGAGAGAGATAGAGAGTTAGAAACATCGATGAGAGAGAGTCATCGATCAGCTGCCTCTTGCACACCCCCTACTGGGGATATGCCTGCAACCAAGGTACATGCCCTTGACCGGAATCGAACCCGGGACCCTTCAGTCCCCAAGCCGACGCTCTATCCATTGAGCCAAACCGGTCTCGGCGCCGGCCCGGGCCCTCTTGACAGCCTTCTCCCCAGCCTGTGCTGTCCCCTGTAAAGTGGGGTCCCACTCCCTTCGCCCCGAGCAGGATGGGTTCTGCGCTCCTGAATGGCTGGCAGGACCCAGAGGAGGAAGGTCCCTGGTGCTGAGGCCGCGGTGGGCTGTCGGCCCTGCCTGCAGCCTGCGAGCCGGGCACTGTCTGAGCCGTGAGCCCGGCTGCGGCCTGTCCGCCCGCCGGCCCGGGGGGAGGCCGGGCCTCGGGGGCCTGAGCCCGCCGTGTCCTCACCGCCCCGTCCCCCTCCCCCCACAGAGGCCCCGGGGCCGGAGCCCTCCCGGCAGGAGCAGCTGGTGTTCGGCAGCGGGGACACCGTGGAGCTGAGCTGCCGCCCGCCCGAGGGCGTCCCCGCGGGGCCCACCGTCTGGGCCAAGGACGGCGCGGGGCTGGTGCCCTCGGACCGCGTGCTGCTGGGGCCGCGGCGGCTGCAGGTGCTCAACGCCTCGCAGGAGGACACGGGGGCCTACAGCTGCCGGCAGCGGCTCACCCAGCGCGAGCTGTGCCGCTTCAGCGTGCGGGTGACAGGTGGGCGCGGCCGGCCCGAGGGTCCGGCGGGGAGGAGGGACGGGGGCGCGGGGAGGACAAACCCCCGGGCCTCCTGGGCCGGAGGCAGGTCAGGAGAGGAGGGGTGCCTGGATGGGGGTGGGCACACCCCCTCCTGCCTGTTGGGGTGGGCACTGCCCCCTCCTGCCCCGTTGGGTGGGCACTGCCCCCTCCTGCCCCGTTGGGGTGGGCACTGCCCCCTCCTGCCCCGTTGGGTGGGCACTGCCCCCTCCTGCCCCGTTGGGGTGGGCACGGCCCCCTCCTGCCCCGTTGGGGTGGCCACGGCCCCTCCTGCCCGTTGGGGTGGACACTGCCCCCTCCTGCCCCATTGGGGTGGGCACGGCCCCCTCCTGCCCCGTTGGGGTGGCCACGGCCCCTCCTGCCCCGTTGGGGTGGGCACTGCCCCCTCCTGCCCCGTTGGGGTGGGCACGGCCCCCTCCTGCCCCGTTGGGTGGGCACGGCCCTCTCCTGCCCCGTTGGGGTGGGCACGGCCCCCTCCTGCCCCGTTGGGTGGGCACTGCCCCCTCCTGCCCCGTTGGGGTGGGCACGGCCTCCTCCTGCCCCGTTGGGGTGGGCACGGCCCCCTCCTGCCCCGTTGGGTGGGCACGGCCCCTCCATGGCCCTCTCCCCTGCCCTGCAGATGCCCCGTCCTCGGGAGACGATGAAGACGGGGAGGACGAGGCAGAGGACACAGGTGAGCCAGGCCCCGGGCCCCCTCCTGGTCTGGGTTGAGGACCTGCCTGGAGACACCCCCGCCCCCGCCCCCTCAGGGATGGGGCCGCTCGCTCCCCCGCTGTGAGAGACCACGGCCTGGCACCCCTGTTTCGGTTATGAGCAGGGTCCCCTCCATGTGGGGTGGCCCTGAGCTCGGGGGGCAGGCGGGCGTGGGGGGTGCGGGTGCTGCAGGCGAGGGGGCTGGGCTGGGGTGTGGCCCTGGGTGTTAGGGTACCAGGTGGAGTTCGTGTCAGCGGGGGCCAGGGCTGGGGGGGGGGGGTGGGGGCAAACAGTCCGTGCAGAGGGGACGTGGCCAGGGCGGGCACCTTTCCTGGGAAGGGGTGCTGCAGCGCCCCCTGGTGGCTGTGGGTGTGCGTCCTGATGCCGGCCTGGGCGGGGCGGGCCCTTGGGGTCCAGCGGACAAGGTGGTGAGGACCCGAGCAGGGAGCCCTGGGGGTCTGAGATCCAGGCGGCCCTGGTGACCCCGAGGCGGCCCCTGCCTCTCCCAGCCTCACGCTCCCGTGCCCCCACCCCGTCCCAGCCGCCCTGGACGCTGAGGTTGCGCAGGGCTGCCCTCCAGAGGTGGTCACACCGCTGCCCCCGGCTCGGACCCTGGACCCCAGACGCTCCTCTTCCCCCCTGGCCTCAGCCCTCTGTGAGGTGGCTGCCCGGTCATGGGGGCTTCGGGGGGGGGAAGCTTGTGGGGAAGGCGCCTGCCCTGGGGACGCCCGCCCGCCCGCCCGCCCGGCCTCCAAACGCAGGAGGCTCCCCCACCGGCCAGAGAAGGAGAAAAACCAGTCAGGCTGCGGGGAGGGGAGTGGGCGGAGCCTCCTCCTGTCCCTCCCGCTGTCTGTCCCTCCTCCTGTCCCTCCTGCTGTCTGTTCCTCTCTGTCCCTCCTCCTGTCCCTCTCTCTGTCTGTCCCTCCCGCTGTCTGTCCCTCCCTCTGTCTGTCCCTCTCACTGTCTGTCCTCCTGTCCCTCCTGCTGTCTGTCCCTCCTCCTGTCCCTCTCACTGTCTGTCTGTCCTCCTGTCCCTCCCTCTGTCTGTCCCTCTCGCTGTCTGTCTGTCCTCCTGTCCCTCCTGCTGTCTGTCCCTCTCGCTGTCTGTCTGTCCTCCTGTCCCTCCTGCTGTCTGTCCCTCCCGCTGTCTGTCCGTCCTCCTGTCCCTCCCACTGTCCCTCCCGCTGTCTGTCCGTCCTCCTGTCCCTCCCGCTGCCCGCAGGCCTGAGCGCCTGCTGCAGAGGTGGCTCTGCTCGCAGGCTCAGCAGCACCAGTGCCTCCAGGCTTCTGGTCTGGGGCGCTGTGCCCCTGCCAGCTGGGTGGGGCGCCCCTCGGAGACCCCCTGTCAGGAAGCACCTGGGGGTCCTGGCCGGCGTGGCTCAGTGCAGGGAGCATCGGCCCATGGACTGAAGAGTCCGGGTTCGAGCTGGGCCCTGGCTGGGCGAGGGTGGGAGGCACCCAGTCGGTGCGTCTCTCTCGCATCAGTGTTCCCCTCTCTGCCTTTCCCCCTTCCACTCCTCAGAGCCAGCGGGAGCTCATCCTGGGGCGAGGAGTAACTGAAATAAGTGAAGAACAAAACAAGCTCATTATAGGGAGAAGGGGGGGGGCGCAGGGAGGGGTGTCCCCCACGGGGGGGGGGGCGCAGGGAGGGGTGTCCCCCACGGTGGGGGCGCAGGGAGAAGTGTCCACCACGGGGGGGCGCAGGCAGGGGTGTCCCCCACGGGGGGGCGCAGGGAAGGCTGTCCCCCACGGGGGGCGGCGCAGGAGGGGTGTCCCCCACGCCGGTCACAGGCCCGCGTGCCCGCCCCAGTAGGGGCGCCGTACTGGACGCGGCCGGAGCGGATGGAGAAGAAGCTGCTGGCCGTGCCCGCCGCCAACACCGTGCGCTTCCGCTGCCCGGCGGCCGGCAACCCCACGCCCACCATCTCCTGGCTGAAGAACGGCAAGGAGTTCCGGGGCGAGCACCGCATCGGGGGCATCAAGGTGGGGCCCCGGCCTCCCCAGTGCCCGCTCCCCCCGTCTATCTGCTCCCCGTCTGCCCGCTCCCCCCGTCTGCCCGCTCCCCCATCTGTCCCCTCACCCCGTCTGCCCGCTCCCCCATCTGTCCCCTCACCCCCGTCTGCCCGCTCCCCCCGTCTGTCCCCTCCCCCCGTCTGCCCGCTCCCCCCGTCTGTCCCCTCCCCCCGTCTGCCCGCTCCCCCCTGTCTATCTGCTCCCTGTCTGCCCGCTCCCCCCGTCTGTCCCCTCACCCCCGTCTGTCCGCTCCCCCCGTCTGCCCGCTCCCCCCGTCTGTCCCCTCACCCCTGTCTGTCCGCTCCCTCCCATCTGCCCGCTCCCCCCGTCTGTCCCCTCACCCCTGTCTGTCCGCTCCCTCCCATCTGCCCGCTCCCCCCGTGTCTGTCTGTTCACCCCTGTTGCCCCCTCACCCCCCATCTGCCCGCTCCCCCATCTGTTCACCCCGTGTGCCCGCAGCTGCGGCACCAGCAGTGGAGCCTGGTCATGGAGAGCGTGGTGCCCTCGGACCGCGGCAACTACACGTGTGTCGTGCAGAACCGGCTGGGCAGCATCCGGCAGACCTACACGCTGGACGTGCTGGGTGAGGCCCGGGCGGCCGGGGCCCGGGCGGTCAGGAGCCGGCCGGGCGGTCCCTGAGCCCCCGTCTGTCTGTCCGTCCGCCCGCAGAGCGCTCCCCGCACCGGCCCATCCTGCAGGCGGGGCTGCCGGCCAACCAGACGGCCGTGCTGGGCAGCGACGTGGAGTTCCACTGCAAGGTGTACAGCGACGCGCAGCCCCACATCCAGTGGCTCAAGCACGTGGAGGTGAACGGCAGCAAAGTGGGGCCCGACGGCACGCCCTACGTCACCGTGCTCAAGGTGGGCGCCGGCGCGGGCGGGCGGGCGGGCGGGCGGGCCCGGCTGCAGCTCCAGCTCGTCCCCTGCGGCTCGGTCCCCGGCGCTTCGGGTCCTCCCCATGGCTCAGCCCCAGCGGCGGCCGGGGCGGCTGAGCCGCCAGCTCCCTCAGGCCAGGGGTGCCCCTGAGCGGGCGGGGGGCCTCGTTGTTTGTGCGCAGTCAGCGCCCCCCAGCCGGCCTCCCGGGGCCCGGGGTGGCACGGTCTCCACAGGGCTCTGCCGGGCCACCCGGCTCGGTGCTTGCGACACTCGCAGCCCAAAGAGAAACATCTGTTCCGGAGACGAGACAGGCCGGAGGGAGGGGGTGGGGACGGCTCAGGCTGAGGACGCCGGCCCGCCCGTGGGTCTGCAGCCTGGTCAGCATGTGAGCTGTCTGCCGTCACCACGGGCCAGCCGGCCGGGCTCGGGGCTGGGGTGGGGTCGGGGGCTGAGCACCCCCCCAGGGCCCCTCGGGAGCCTGCCAGGCCCGTGCTCCGTGCTGGGGAGGGCGGATGCATGGAAGGTGCTCCCGTGGAACCACCGTCGACTGCCACGAGGGGCCTGCGCACCTCCCGGCAGCCCTCCGGGCCTGCTCCGCCCCGTCCGGCCTCCCGGCCTCCCACGCCCTGCCGCGGAGCCTCAGATCCGAGGCCGCCCTGCCTGGACGGCCGGCCGCGGGCACGCTGAGCGGCTCTCTTTCCCCGCAGTCCTGGATCAGTGAGACGGTGGAGGCCAACGCGCGCCTCCGCCTGGCCAATGTGTCCGCGCGCGACGGGGGCGAGTACCTCTGTCGAGCCTCCAATTTCATAGGCGTGTCCGAGAAGGCCTTTTGGCTGCGCGTTCACGGGCCCCGAGCAGGTAACCAGAGATCTCTGTCCCACGCTGCCTGGCACGCCGAGCTCCGTGCCGACGCCTGGCCCACGCAGCCGTCCTGCTCGCTCCCGCCCGCCCGCCCGCCGTCGCACACCCTCACGCTGCAAGCTGGCGCCTCTGCCTCCCTGTGACGCCCGCCCGCCTGCCCGCCTGCCTGGACCCCAGCCCGCGGCCCCTGCCTGCGCCCGTCTGCCCCGAAGGCCCTCAGCCTGGCAGGGGCCGTGCCCTCCGTCTGTGGCACCTGCTTTCCTCCCATCGCCCCGGCCCCGGCCCGCTGCCTGCTCACTTCCTGTTGGTCTGCCTGCCCCTCTGCCCACCTGTCTGCCCTACCACCCCCTGCCCAGCGTCCACGCTAACCCTGCACGCTGCTGGCCACACGCCTGGCGCTCACCTGGGACAGAGGACTCGCCGGTGAAGGGACTGGCTTCGGGCTCGGTGTGGACGCACGTGGCGGAGGATCCTTGGCCGCTGTGGCCGTGGCCTCGTCTGTGGCCGTGGCCGTCGTGTGATGGTGGCAGCCGTGGCCGTGGCCACGTTCGGTGGCCGTGGTGGTGGCCTTGGTTGTGGCCGTGGTGGTGGCACTTTTCCTTTGCAGCCGGTGGGACGTCGCATGGACGCTGGCTCGTGCGGGGTGCGGCGGGCCTAGCTCTGTTCTCTCTCCTAGACGGCAGGCGCTAACACCACCGACAAGGAGCTAGAGGTGCTGTCGTTGCGCAATGTCACCTATGAGGACGCGGGGGAGTACACGTGTCTGGCGGGCAATTCTATCGGGTTTTCCCATCACTCTGCGTGGCTGGTGGTGCTGCCAGGTACCGCTCCTGCTGCTGCCGCTGCTCCTTTCGGGCGCTGGCTCGGGACACGCCAAAGCCGCCAAGGACCGTCGGGGCCCGGGGCTCACGTCTGGCCTGACTCCGTGGATAGAGGGTTCTGGGTTTGACTCCCCGTCAGGGCACAGGCCCCGTTGTGGGCTCCGTCCCTAGTGTGGGGCGCGCAGGAGGCGGCCGATCCATGATTCTCTGTCATCATGGATGTTTCTCGCTCTCCCTCTCCCTTCCTCTCTGAAACCAATAAAAATAAAAAATAAAAAGTCGGTCCAGTCCACGGGCCCCGGAGCCGGTGGCGGCTTTGGCGTCTCCCCGGTGGCGGGCGTGGGTGCTGTGGCTCCGCTTGGGCTCCTTCTCTCGGCACCTCTGACCCGTGGCCTCGGCACCCCTCCCCGGGCCGCGCCGCCCCGGACCCCTGCCCGCAGCTCCCGAGGCCTGTGGCGAGGGCTGCGTGCGCCGGCGGCCCCCAACGCCCGTGTCTCCGCAGCCGAGGAGGAGCTGGCGGAGGCCGGCGAGGCAGGCAGCGTGTACGCGGGCGTGCTCAGCTATGGCGTGGGCTTCCTGCTCTTCGTGCTGGTGGTGGCCGCCATGACGCTCTGCCGCCTGCGCAGCCCCCCCAAGAAGGGCCTGGCGCCCGCCGTGCACAAGGTCTCCCGCTTCCCGCTCAAGCGCCAGGTAACGAGGGAGGTGCCCGCCCGCCCGAGCCCCAGACCCGCCTCCGGGCCCCGGCCCCGCCCTCGGGGACCCCTCCGTGTGGGAGGCCCCAGGTGCACCCCCACCCCCCCACGGCCCCGCGGCGCCAACCTGCCCCCACCCAAGCAGGTGTCCCTGGAGTCGAACTCGTCCATGAACTCCAACACGCCGCTCGTGCGCATTGCCCGGCTGTCCTCGGGCGAGGGCCCCGCGCTGGCCAACGTGTCCGAGCTGGAGCTGCCCGCCGACCCCAAGTGGGAGCTGCCCCGGGCCCGGTCAGTGTGCGCAGGCGCTGGGCCGGGCCCTGACGGGGAGGCTGCCGGGCAGAGGCCTGGCTGGGTTCGGAGGGTGATCGGGTAGGAGCCAGGTGCGGGGTGTGCGGCCGGAGGGGGCTGGGCGCGGGGAGGTGCCCGGAGGCGGGGGCACCTCCCTGAGGCTGCCCGGCCTCACTGCCTCTGCCCCTGCCGCAGGCTGACCCTGGGCAAGCCCCTCGGCGAGGGCTGCTTCGGCCAAGTGGTCATGGCGGAGGCCATCGGCATCGACAAGGACCGGGCCGCCAAGCCCGTCACAGTGGCCGTGAAGATGCTGAAAGGTGAGCGGGGGGCGCAGGGAGCCGGGGGGGCGCAGGGAGCCGGGGGGGCGCAGGGAGCCGGGGGGGGGGGTATGTGCAGGGAGCGGGGAGGGGTGCAGGGAGCCGGGGGGGGGGGGGAGCGGGGAGGGGTGCAGGGAGCCTGGAGTGAGGAGTGCAGGGGAGGGGTGCAGGGAGCCGGGGGGGGGCCGCAGGGAGCCGGGGGGGGGGCGCAGGGAGCCGGGGGGTGGCGCAGGGAGCCGGGCGGGGGGGTATGTGCAGGGAGCGGGGAGGGGTGCAGGGAGCCGGGGGGGGGGGGGGGTTATGTGCAGGGAGCGGGGAGGGGTGCAGGGAGCCGGGGGGGGGGGAGCGGGGAGGGGTGCAGGGAGCCTGGAGTGAGGAGTGCAGGGGAGGGGTGCAGGGAGCCGGGGGGGGGGCCGCAGGGAGCCGGGGGGGGGGGGCCGCAGGGAGCCGGGGGGGGGCAGGGAGCCGGGGGGGGGCGCAGGGAGCCGGGGGGGGGTGCAGGGAGCCGGGGGGGGGTGCAGGGAGCCGGGGGGGGGTGCAGGGAGCCGGGGGGGGTGCAGGGAGCTGCGGGGGGGTGCAGGGAGCCGGGGGGAGGGTGCAGGGAGCCGGGGGGAGGTGCAGGGAGCCGGGGGGGGGGTGCAGGGAGCTGGGGGAGGGAGGTGCAGGGAGCCGGGGGGCAGGGCGCAGGGGGGCAGAGCGTGGGGGGTGGGGGTCCCCCCACAGGGAGCCGGGCTGCACTGTCAGACGGGCCTCCGTCTCTGCACAGACGACGCCACTGACAAGGACCTCTCGGACCTGGTGTCGGAGATGGAGATGATGAAGATGATCGGGAAGCACAAGAACATCATCAACCTGCTGGGCGCCTGCACGCAGGGCGGTGGGTGCACACCGCAGGGAGGGTGCACAGAGGGGGAGGGTGCACACGGCAGGAGGGTGCGCGCAGGGTGGGGTGCACGTGGGTGGGAGAGGGTCACAGAGCGGGGCTGCCCTGAGGGCGGGGGATGCAGAGGGGGAGGGTGCACACGGCAGGAGGGTGCGCGCAGGGCGGGGTGCACGTGGGGCGGGAGAGGGTCAGAGGGCGGGGCTGCCCTGAGGGCGGGGGGTGCACAGGGCGGCCCCCCTGAGGCGCCCGTCCCCGCAGGGCCCCTGTACGTGCTGGTGGAGTACGCGGCCAAGGGGAACCTGCGGGAGTACCTGCGGGCGCGGCGGCCCCCGGGCACCGACTACTCCTTCGACACCTGCAAGCTGCCCGAGGAGCAGCTCACCGGCAAGGACCTGGTGTCCTGCGCCTACCAGGTGGCCCGGGGCATGGAGTACCTGGCCTCGCAGAAGGTGAGGGGCGGGCCGGGGCGGGCCGGGGGCGGGCCGGGGCGGGGCCCGGGGCCCAGGGCGGCGGCGGGTGCTCAGCGGCCTCCGCCGCCCCCAGTGCATCCACCGGGACCTGGCGGCCCGCAACGTGCTGGTGACGGAGGACAGCGTGATGAAGATCGCGGACTTCGGCCTGGCCCGCGACGTGCACAACCTGGACTACTACAAGAAGACCAGCAACGTGAGCCGCGGGGGCGGGGCCGCGGGGGTCCGGGGGCGGGGCCGCGGGGGGGGGGGCAGGCAGCAACGCGCCTCTGTCCGCAGGGCCGGCTGCCCGTGAAGTGGATGGCGCCCGAGGCCCTGTTCGACCGCGTCTACACCCACCAGAGCGACGTGTGCGTGGCCCCGCCCGGGGGCGCTGTGAGGGTCCGGCCCGGGCGGGGGGCGCTGTGAGGGTCCGGCCCGGGGGGGGGGGGGCGTGTGAGGGGCCCGGAGGGGGGGGGCGTGTGAGGGTCCGGCGGGGGGGGGGTGTGAGGGGCCCGGGGGAGGGGCGTGTGAGGGGCCCAGGGGGGGGTGCCAGAAGCAGCGGGGGGGGCCAGGCCCCCGCTCAGGCACCGTTGCCTCTGCCAGCGGGCCCATCCCGGGGGCCGCTGCGGGCCGGTGGGAGCCGTGTGTGTCCCCCCAGCTGGTCCTTCGGGGTGCTGCTCTGGGAGATCTTCACGCTGGGGGGCTCGCCGTACCCTGGCATCCCCGTGGAGGAGCTGTTCAAGCTGCTGAAGGAGGGGCACCGCATGGACAAGCCGGCCAACTGCACGCACGAGCTGTGAGTGCCCTGCCCCCGGCGTCCCCCGTCTCCGTGTGGGGGGTCCCCCTGTCCCTGTGCGGGTCCCCGTGTCCCTGTGTGGGTCCCCCTGTCCCTGTGGGGGTCCCCGTGTCCCTGTGCGGGTCCCCCTGTCCCTGTGCGGGTCCCCGTGTCCCTGTGCGGGTGCCTGTCCCTGTGCGGGTGCCCTGTCCCTGTGCGGGTGCCTGTCCCTGTGCGGGTCCCCGTGTCCCTGTGCGGTGCCTGTCCCTGTGCGGGTCCCCCTGTCCCTGTGCGGGTGCCCTGTCCCTGTGCGGGTCCCCCTGTCCCTGTGCGGGTGCCGTGTCCCTGTGCGGGTCCCCCTGTCCCTGTGCGGGTGCCCTGTCCCTGTGCGGGTGCCTGTCCCTGTGCGGGTCCCCGTGTCCCTGTGCGGGTGCCCTGTCCCTGTGCGGGTGCCGTGTCCCTGTGCGGGTCCCCCTGTCCCTGTGCGGGTGCCCTGTCCCTGTGCGGGTGCCCTGTCCCTGTGCGGGTCCCGGTGTCCCTGTGCGGGTGCCTGTCCCTGTGCGGGTCCCCGTGTCCCTGTGCGGTGCCTGTCCCTGTGCGGGTCCCCGTGTCCCTGTGCGGGTGCCTGTCCCTGTGCGGGTGCCTGTCCCTGTGCGGGTCCCGGTGCGGGTCAGTCCCCGGGCCGGGTGGGAGGAGGCGGGCCGGCTGTGGGGCTCACCCAGCACCCCGCAGGTACATGGTGATGCGGGAGTGCTGGCACGCTGTGCCCTCCCAGAGGCCCACCTTCAAGCAGCTGGTGGAGGACCTGGACCGCATCCTCAGCGTGACCTCCACCGACGTGAGTGCCGCTGCCCGCGAGGCCGGGGGGCGGGGGGCGCCGTGCCCGACGCCTGACGCCCGACCCCCCCCAGGAGTACCTGGACCTGTCCGTGCCCTTCGAGCAGTACTCGCCCGGCGGCCAGGACACCCCCAGCTCCGGCTCCTCGGGGGACGACTCCGTGTTCGCCCACGACCTCCTGCCGCCCGCCCCTCCCAGCAGCGGGGGCCCGCAGACGTGAGGGCCCCGCCCTCCGGCCCAGCCCCCCTGTGAGGGCCCCGGCCCGCCATGCTGCTCTGGGTGTGCCGTCCGCCGGCTCCCGACCTGGCACCGACGGACGGATGGACAGACACCTTGTGTGCGCGTGTGCATGTGCGTGTGCGTGTGTGCATGTGTGTGTGTGTGTGAGTCTCCGGGCCCCGGTGCAGGGGTCCCTGGGTGCCCGCCCTGCTGTACCGTGCCCCCTGGCCACTGAACCGGCGGTGCCAGGAGGACGGATGTAGAATGTACGGGGCTCCCCGAGGGCCTCCCTGCCCCCTGGGCCCTCAGGCACCGAGCGGAGCCCCCCCCTCCCCGCGGCACCTTGCGCCTGGGGTGATGTTAGCACAGGCCCCCCCCAGGTCCCACCTCCCACCCTGTCCCCCGAGACTGAGATTACGGGTACCGAAGGCGGGAGCCTTTAACTTCTATCCGAGAGGCGACTCCAGAGACGAGAGCATGCCTCTAACACGTGTGTGACACGCGTGTAGGCCAACAATCCACGTGGAAGAAGCTGGGACACGGGCAGCACGGGCCCGGGGGCTGGGTGGGAGGCCCCTGCGGGCGGGACACACACGGCGCCGCGTGGAGGGCTCCCCGGCCGCAGTTTTGTTTTAAAAATTGTACCTGGACCCACCTGTCTGTAAAGCTATTTATGGCCCCGACCGTCCCTTCCCCCACCCCAGCGCTGTAGTGTTCAGCCGCCCCCCACGGTGGCTCCGCCTTAACTTATTAACAGCTGGAGGTTGGTTTGGGGGGCCGCTGGGGGGCACGCGGGGCACCCAGCCCGCACCCCGGCCGGAGCGGCCCTCACCAGGCAGCAGCCGGCGGGGGCCTCGGGGCTCCGCGGGGCGTCGATGAGGATTTGCTGCAGGAGATTTATTTCTCGGACTCTGAGCGGGCTGGTGTTTTCACACACGTTCTCGTTGCCATGTTCGGGCGGCCGCCCGCTCGCCGTGGGCCGGCCCTCCCTGGCTCAGAAGTCCTTAGATGTTACCGTTTATATCTATCTATCTATATAATTTATTGAGTTTTTACGAGATGTATTTGCTGTAGATTTAACACTTCTTACGCGACGCTTCTAGCCTTCTGGCCCGGCTGCCACCTCCCGGGCCTGGGGGGAGTGCGAGCCTCGGTGCCGTCACTTCCGTCCTGCCTGCGGCGCCCGGGCGGGGCTGCTCTGCTCCTCGGCGGGCGGGCGGCTGGGTGGTTTGTTCCCGGCCCTGGCCTTGCGGGGGCCAAAGGCGTTGCCCCCAACTGGCCAACGCACTTCCCAGAAATAAAGATTCCGTTCAGCCTCTGCTGCACTCCTGCCGTCTGTCTCCTGCCCTGTGCGGCCTGGCGGCCCTGCGGCCGGCCCCCGGAGGGAGGGAGGGAGGGAGGGAGGGGTGGCCACTGTTGCGGGGACAGCACATGCTGGGGGAGGGCCCAGGGGACAGCTGCCCTGCACATCCCTGGACCCGCAGCCCAGGGCTCGGCGGGTGGGCCGTACTGGCACAGCCTGGGGAGGCATCAGTGCCCAGCGGTGGGCCCAGCGTGGGCAGGGCAGCCCCGTGTCCTGAGGGTCTCCAGGGCCTGGGTCTCGGGTCCTCGGTGGCAGGAAGTTCAGACGCCTGGTGTCCGTGTCCACAAGAGAGAGGGACAGGGAGGCCCCGTGGGTGGGCAGGCCCAGGTCCTGGAGCCCAGGTGGGCTCAGGTTACGTGCAGGCACCCGAGGTCCCCTTCTGCGCCGAACCCTGAGCCCTGGGGAGGCGCCTCGGCCCCGGCCCCGGGCCGCCCGCGGGAGCCCCGTGAGGGCGCCCAGTGTCCCGTTCCGGACAGGGCGGGGCGAGGGCGGGACAGCGGGCCGGGGGCGCCCTCTAGCGGCCTCGCCGCGCCGCTCCCGCCCCGGCTCGGTCCCGCGCGCACCGGGGACGCCAGGGCCGCGCCGCCGGTGGGAGCTCCGGGAGCCGGATGGAGACCCCAGCGGGGCCCTGCGACTCCGACTCCGGGCCCCAGACGGGCGGGCACAGGTGGCTCCTTCGTCCGGGCCGCCCGACCGGACTCTGACCCACCGGCCCGCTCCTCCTCTGGCCCCGCCCCGCCCGCCAGGCCCCGCCCCTCCCCCAGGGCCCGCCCCAACCACCGGCCCCCAGCTCCTCTGGCACCGCCTCCGCCAGGTCCCGCCCACCACCAGGCTCCACCTCCGAGGCCCCGCCCCCACCCACTGGTCCAACTCTACCTCTGGCCCCGCCCCTCAAGCCAGGCCCCGCCCCTCCAAAGCCCCGCCCCAACCACCGGCCCCAGCTCCTCCTCTGGCCCCGCTTCCGCCCACCAGGTCCCACCCCACCGCCGGGCTCCACCTCCGAGGCCCGTCCCGCCCGCCGGCCCAGCTCCTCTGGCCCCGCCCCTCACCCCAGGCCCCGCCTCCGCAGCCTCTGCTGGCCAGTCAGTGGCCTTCCCGCTAGGCTGGCCCGCTGGGTGTGGGGATTGGGACGCGGGCCCCTGGCCGTGACCAGGCCCTGGCCCTGCCCTGGCTCCTGCTGCAGGGCAGGACAGGGTCCAGCCGCCCTGGAGCTCCACAGGGACCCTTCCCCCTGAGAAGGGCAGGACCTGAGCCCTTTCCTCCCCACTGCGCCCTCGGCAGTCACTCCCGGCTTCCCGTGGCTCCAGCCCAGGCCCTGTGTCCCCGGCACCCACTGTGCCAGCGCAGGTCCAGCTCTGCCCGCCACAGGCTCACAGCTGAGGACCACAGCAGGAAGGTCTGGGTACCTGCTGGGGCACCTCTGGCCCAGAGGCTGGGCAGGGTGGGGAGGCCATGGCAGGTCTCAAGAGAGGGCAGCCTCAGGCAGGGAACCCGTTTGGTCTCCCAAGGAGCCTGGTACCAGTGCAGGGGTGAAGCCCCCAAGACAGGCTGGACCCTTGGGGTGGTGGTGGCCCTACCCACTGAGGGGCCGGGAGGGTGGGGAGACCTGTGCCCTCTGTGGGCAGCCTTCCCCCGCAAGCTGCTCTCTACCAGGGGAGTGGCCCCGCCCACGGCCTTGGGGAGCAGGACCCGCCTCCTCCAGGAAGCCCCTTGGTCACACGGAGCTTCGGTCTTACAGAACGGAACTGTGCTGTCCTGAGTGACCCGGGTTTGAGCATCCCCGGAGGTCCGATGGGGGAGGGCTGGTCAGGCAGTGAGCCTCCACCGACCTGGACAAAGGAATCACTGAGTGGTCACAGGTCACCAAGGCAATGCTTTATTCAGTCCCGTCCTTACATCAGATTGGCGTCTGGTCCCCAGCACAGGGACAGTCTGGGTGGCGTGTGGGGGATGGCAGCGCACTCTGCCCACAACCGGGGACTCCCGAGCCAGGGCTTGGCCCCGAAGGCGAGGTCCTGTCCCCTTCTGCGACGAGGCAGAAGCAGCAGGCCACTCAGCTGCCACCGCAGACCATCGAGACATCTTCCTGTGAGTCCTCCTACGAGCTGTCACGGGAACGGTGACGTGACATTTTAATAAAAACATCATTTCTAGAAAGGTGATTACATGTGAGGCCGGGGCCCGGCGGGCTCGTGGGCAGAGCCAGCGCACAGGCGGGTCGCGGTGAGAACCTGCCCAACTCGGTGACAGGGCCCGCGGGGCTGACAGGTGCTGACGTGGGACTCCCACGTGGCCCGTTTCACTGTCAAGCAGGCGTGGGGGGTGCAGCACAAGGGCAGGGCCAGCAGCACCCCCCTGCGACGCCCATTTCTGGGCCACCACGTGCTCTGCCTGCGTCTGGCGCGGTCTCAGCTGTGCTGAGTCCAGGACAGTGAACGCAACACGAAGCGCCAGGGGGCCGGCAGCAGGCCGCCTCAGAAGCGGAGGCTCTGCTAGCAGCTCGCCCAGCGCACGCAGAGCCCTGCACAGAGTACGCGTCTCCCCGAAGCTGCAGACACCTAGGAGGGCCCGGCAAGGCAGCGAGGACGGAGGAGCCGGAGCGGCGGAAGGGCCCGGTGCTGCTCAGCGAAGGACAGCCGCCGGCCCCGCACAGCCGCCACGCTCCGGGGCAGAGGTGGGCACAGCTGAACCAGGCCCGGAACACTGAGAGCCCATCAGCACCCCCAGCATCGGAGTGCGCGCGCACACGGACAGAAAGCCCTGCAGCCCGGGTCTGAGGATACAAAGGCGGATTCCCGGCTTGTGCCGGCCCTGCCACGCCCGGGAGAAAGGGCAAGGCACCGAGAGGCTGTCCTTCCGAGTCCTCGGTCCCGGAGCTGGCCACGCCCTCTATGCTTGGGTTCCCCGGAGCAGCCTGGCCTCTGAAGGGGGTGAGGCTGAGGCACAGGCCACCGGGCCCCGCCCGCCCACGCAGCCACCTGCCTGAGCGCCAGGCTGCACAGGGCCCTTCACAGGCCCCGGTGCCCACCACAGGCCAGGGTGGCCACCAGCCTGCGTCTCCTGAAGGAGCTGGGCCAGGAATTGGAGTGACGGCACCTGGAGGCTCCGGGGTGCCAGGGCCAGGCCCACTGCTGGGCAGCGCAGTGGCATCACCCCTGGGCGTGGTGCTAACAACCCAAATTCGGAGACTTCCTAAAAGCCACAAGAGCACAATAAATACGCAGACAGCAAGGCTTCGTTAGCGGGCCACGCCGTGCTTTACGTTAGGTCACACCCGGGTCGGCAGACTGCGGGCTGGTGAAGGGTTAGGTGACAAGGTACATGGAGGAGAGCTGGTACAGACGGGGCCGCAGGAGGCACCGCCGTCCGCCAGGCGAGGTGCAAGGCCACAGAGCGCTCGGGCGTCCCTCGCGGCCACACGGCTCCGGACGTGGCCCCGACATTCAGGTGTCCGAGTCCGCAGACCGGTGTCTCCTCCTGCGCTGAGGGTCCACGGCCAGGCCTCCTCCCGGACACCACGGGGCACAGCCCGTGTGGCCGCGCAGGGACGCCGGCACGCCTCCCGGGGGCCTGGGGATTCCAGGCTGACTGACTCTTCGTGGAATGATGAAAATTAAAATTACGTGATGACGAAGTTCCTGATTTATTCCAGACAAAATAGTAGACGTGTCACTAATGGTCGCCTGCCAGCAGGAAGGGCCGGACGGCACTAGCCCTTCACCTCGGCGGCCTCCTTCTCGGCCTTCTTCTCGGCCTTCTCCTTGGCCTTCTCCTTCTCCTCCACCTTCTCCTCCTTGCCCAGCGTGGCCACAATCTCGGCCACCTGGCTGGTGGAGATGTGGATGTCCGCCTTGTCCACCAGCTCAATCACCTGCACACACAGCAAGGACAAGACTCAGGACCGCTTCCTCAACCAGCAGGCCAACGGCCACCAGCACTCGAACCCCACGCTGTCCACAGGGGCCCCGGGGTCCTCAGAGAACCAGCCTCCCACCCCCAGGGGCCCTCAGGCTCCAGAGACCCAGTGAGGGACACGCCACCCAGGGCACGGTGTGTCCCGGGGCTCAGGCTGTGGAGCAATGCCATGGGGCCGGCTCCAGGCAGAGTGCGGGGTGTGGACGTCAAGCTGCTGTGCATCCCGAGGGCCGCAGGGACATGCCCTCCCAGCCCCACAGCCGGCAAGGCGAGGGCTCCGAATGTGCACCTGCTGGTTCCTCGATTCCCAAGGAAACCATGCCAGCCTAGTGCCGGGCATGGCTGGGCTGGGAGCCGGGAGAGCCTATGACAGCGCGTGTGCAGAGGGGCACTGCGAACCTCCTCAGAGGCAGGGCTGCTCCAGCCTCGAGCTGTCCAAGCTCCTTGCACCAGGGACCCAAGGGGTCCTTAGGGTCCCTCGGGGTCACCTCCAGGCCTCAGAGTCCCCCCACAGGCCCCTCGGATTGCCCGCACCCCTCCTCCCTGGGGTCTGCCCACCAGCCATCACACCAGCAGCCCTGCCGGCCTTGGACCCACCTTGACCAGGTCGTTGATGTTGACCTTGCCGTCTTTGTTGTCGTCCAGGGCGGAGACCAGGCTGATGAGCTTGTGTTCTGGAATGTGCTTGATCTGCTTCATGGCGTTGATGAGCTCGGTGACGCTGATGACAGTGTCCCTGGGAGGGGTGAAGGAAAGAGCCCGCCGGTGACAGCTGCACCCGGCTCCAGGCCCCGCCAGCCCGCCCATACGCTGGGAGCACTGTCTTTGGACCAGGGAGGCCGGTGGGCCCACACAGCCCAGTGTGGCGAGGGCGGCCTGTGCGTGGCCTGAGGGGACGCAACCAGGAGGGACGCTGCCCTCATCTGAGGATGAAGGGTCGCCACCCGAGGACAGGACAGCAGAGCCGGCACGAGAGTCAGCCACCACCTGGGCAGTCACGCTGGGACACCACGTGGTCCCTGCCGAGTGCCGGGGCCGAGGGGGCTGAGGCTGGAGGGCGGGAGTGTGGGGGAGAGGGGAGCTGAGCCGCCTGCAGCGAGGGGGCCGCGGTGGGCAGGCAGACAGCGGACAGTGGCGCCCAGGGGCAGAGGAAGGAGAGCTGACCGGAGCCTCGTGGAGAAGAGAGGCAGATGGGGGGCGGGATTTCTGGTGGAAACCACTGGGTCATGGCAGGGCCGCTGGGCACCATGGCTGTGACCGCACGGGTCAGCAGCCCCAAGCCCTCCGTCCGGCCGCACTCACCCCGCGGGCAGGCCCGGGGCGGTGGGGCCCAGCTTGCCAGCCTGCTGGTCGGCCTCCAGCTGGGTGAGCAGGCCGTCGATCTGCCCGATCATCTGCTGCACGCGCTTGGTCAGCCTCTTGCTGGCCTTGGATTCCTCCACCTCCATCTGCTTGCCCGTCTTGGAAAGCTCCTTCTTAATCTCCTGCAAGTCCTGAGAGAGCAGCGCGCTGGAGACTGCCTGGGAAGCCCCTCACACACAGCCCACACTGGGATCCACTCCCCCTGGCGCCCGCCTGCGCCCCGCACACACCGCTCTAGGCTCCACAGACTCGCACCCCCTTGTCTAGAAAGGAGATGCAGTCTGCCTGGGCCCTCGCCCTCCGTGTGGAGTGACAGATGAGCCAGAGCGGTCAGCATGGCCTTCCGCCCACGCCAGCTGGGGGGGGGGGTGAGCGTAGGAGGGACCTGCTTTCTAACGAGCCCCACCGGAGGCTGCCATCTTCCCTGGTGGCCGCGGGACACCAGGACGGCCGCCCCCAGGAGGCAGCGGCGTGGGCCCACAGGGCCCCTGAGGAGGACTTGGTCAGACCCCTCCTCTCCAAGGGCCTGTGGGAATAGCGTGACCTTTGGCTTATCAGATACTCAATGGAGGTACTTTTGGAAATTGGTAGAAACCATACTCTTAGGAGCAAACCCCACAAGCCCCAGCCCTGCACCCTCAGCCCCCGGCCCCGAACCCTCAGCTCCTGGCCCACACCCTCAGCCCCCGGCCCCGCACCCTCAGCCCCCGGCCCGCACCCTCAGCCCCTAGCCTGCACCCTCAGCCCATGGCCTGTACCCTCAGCTCCCGGCCCTCACCCTCAGCCCCTGGCCCCGCACCCTCAGCCCCTGGCCCCGCACCCTCAGCCCCTGGCCCCGCACCCTCAGCCCGCGGCCCGCACCTCGCTGTAGTCCTGCACCCTCAGCCCGCAGCCCGCACCCTCAGCCCCCGGCCCGCACCCTCAGCCCGCGGCCCGCACCTCGCTGTAGTCCTGCACGTCCTCCTTGAGCATCTCCAGCTCCTCCTTCTCCTTCGTCAGGGAAGTCTTCTGCTCCTTCAGCTTGGAGCAGGCGTCGCTGAGGATGTCGATCTCCTCCTTGGTTATCTCCTCCTCCTGGAAGGAAGCACAGCCAGGCCTGATGAAGGGCTCACTGAGGGCGGAGTCTCAGCGGCACAGGCCGCCCGCGCCCCCCTGTGCGGGCGGGACACTGTCACCTTCACGCCCGTCAGGACGGGGGCCGTGTCCGTCAGGGCCTCAGACGGCAGGGTCACCTCCACCACTTCCGGCTGCGGCTCAGCCACGGGCTCCCTGGGGGCAGTTTCCACGGCTTCAGGCGCCACTTCCTTCTGAAACACAGGCCGGGCCACTCAGTGCCACCCCCCACAGCCTCCCTAGGCGCCCACACCACACTGACGGGCCCCCAGCTGGAGGGCACGCTCAACAGCCGGTGCGAACGGTGGGCTCAGAGTGCCCAGCAGGGTGACCTCTCCAAACGGCCACTTAGTGACCTGGGCGTGCACGCAGCCCAGCCTCTCCCTCCGGCCCGTCCTGACACGCATGGAGCTGCCGGGATGTGCAGAACGCACACTGCATGGGCACGCGTGTGGGGAGCTGGAGCCTACCCGGGCCAGGAGCACAGCCTGGGCGGCTGAGCTGGCCCCGGGGAAAGGGGAGGACCCTGCCCAGCGGGCCCAGGCCCATCCTGGCAGGAGAGGCGCGGGAGCCACCACACCCGGCACTCACCGCGGCCTCCTCCGAGCGCCTCTGCCGCTCCTCCCGGTGCTCCTGCCGGATGGCGGCCTCCTCCTGCAGCGTGGCCTCCAGCTTCGCCTTGTTGTCCACCTGCTCCCCCTCCACCTCCGCCGCCTTCACCTGCGCTTCCTTGGCCTTCAGAGAGGGCGCCCCTGGGTGAGCCATAGGCTCCACCCAGGAGGCCACACCGACCCTGACTGTCCTCCCCCAGGCTTGGAGGGCACAGACACAGTGCGGGGCCCGAGGTCACCCACGTCTCCCAGCCCTGACCGCTCAGAGGACAGACCGAGAGGGGGGGTGAGTGGGAGGGCGCGAGGGTCCCATGGCCGGGGACGGTGTCGTGTGGTCCCGCCCTCAGAAGCGGGGCCGTGGAGGCAGGCAGGAGCCTCAGGCAGTACGCACCACGATCTCGGGCAGGGTCTGCAGCGTGGACTTGAGCTGGTCGGCAGGCGACAGGGTGTCGGGGAGGTACATGGCTCGGGACAGGATGAGCAGCGATGTGGGGATCTCCTGCTGCAGGTGCAGCTCCAGCCACTGCAGGGGAGGTCAGACCTGCACTCATCGGCTGCCTTGCCCGCCCCACACCGGAGACCTGGCAGGCCGGGCCTGCCCTCCGCCGCCTGCTCTCTCTGGTTGGGGGAGCAAGGGGAGGGGCGGGACCAACAGCCACAACAGGACTTGGGCGGATGGAGCCGATTCACTGCCTCAGTTCCTGACCCGATGCCCATGGGTCACTGCATGAGACACCAGAGGACCCCGAGTTAGCGCCCGGCGGCCAGGCCTCCGCCCCAAATTGACAGCACAGATTCGCTGCCAGCCAGGCCCCCGCTTCAAACGGCACAGAGCCCTGGTGTGTCTGTGAATCCCCCGGCCTGTGCAGCTCACCGCCTACTGCGGGCCAGGCACCACTTCAGGCTATTTCAGCGACAAAAAGGCAACGTTCAAGCTGACAGGAGATGACAATACCTGGACAGGAGCTGGCACGGGACGAACGGGAGAAGGAACTCAGAGATCGGGAGCAAGGAACTGAGGGAGGGGCGAGCACACACAGACGCGCCCGGCGAGCTCCGTGGAGGCGGAGCCGCGGCGCTCCGGCCCTCGGCGGCCCTGGGCAGCGCCGCACGCACCGCACAGAAGACGTGGCCGCCAGTGACAAGCGGGGCCAAGCACATCGCGACAGAGGGCACCCTTGTGTTGTGCCACGCATCTGCCTCGCTGACCCCGGGAGGGCGCAGCATGGCAGTCAGGAGGGCCACGGGCACCCTGCAGGCTTTACACCTTCCGAAGCAGCAGGCAAATCACCGAGGGCCACCGCCTTTCCGAGGGCCGATCCACCAGCGGGCAGAGCTGCCCGAGCTCCTGGGAGGAGCAGGCGCCAGAACGTGGCCTCAGGGAGACACACCGCGCCTCAGAAGCTATCTCAGCGCTCACCCACCCCGATGATAGGAAAAGACAAGGACGGCAGGACAGCCCGAGAGCCACCGGCCTCCGCACAGGGACACACTGGCACCACAGCCCGAGTCCCGGCACCTGTGCGGGCCCCGCGTGGGAGCCCACGGCCACGAGGACACCCACGCGGCCCGGCTGCTGCCCACGAGCCACAGGACTTGCAAGTCTCCCCGCAGGAGCAGACGGACTGCAGGAAGAAAGCCCCACGACCTCGCCCTGGCCCGGCGCGCGAGCACGCACCTGCTTCAGCTGGTTCCGCAGGCGGTCCTCCGTCACCCCCAGGGCCCGCATGCCTCGCGCCCGGCACGCCGCCTGCAGCTCTTTGACATTGAGGCTGTCCACACCCTCCTCTGAGATCAGCTGGAAAAGAGATGGTGTTCTGAAGAGGCAGCAGGGGCTCACGGTGCAAAGGCTTTGTAAGTCACACACCTACCAGGCCCCACCCGGGGGCAGGGACAGGAACGCACCGAGGAGGACTGAGGAAGTGCACCCGGCAGCACCCCCCACGATCGGAGACTGGAGGAAGGGCGCCTCCACCCAGGCCCGCAGGGCGTCCCAGCACCTGCCCCACAGCCGGCCCACCCACCCGAGCCGAGCCGTTTGCTGGACGGGAGAGAAAGGACAGAGCAGAGCGACTCAGCCACCGCTCCCGGCCTGAGGGAGAAGAGGGACGAGCAGGAGGCCCGAGACAAGGACCATGGATTGGAGCACAAAGACATCTGCAAGGGGGGGGGGGGGGGGAGAGGGGGAAGAGGGGAGGGGGGAAGAGGAGAGAGGGAGGGAGGAGGGGGAGAGACAAAGCACCACAGGCGCTCCCGTCTGTCCCCACACCCCCACCTAATCAGCCCAGCCAACCTCACAGCATCCTGAGGGGGACAATGCTGCCCCCACCCCAGCTTCTTAAACTTTCATCCTGAGATGAAACAAAGTGCAGAACAAGATCACAGCCCGGTGACAGTAGGCCAGGGGGCGGGGCCCCGGCATCACAGGCCCTCCCGCCGCCTCACGCCCAGCCGCCCGAACCCAGGTCCTCCTCTCCCTGCCAGCCGATGAGAGCGCACACAGGGCCCATGGAACCTGCGGGGACCCCATGAGGACCATTCGCCGGGCTTCGGTGTACCCACAGCTTGCTGCCTTTTCGTGCCAAAGAGCACGGCCCAGCTCGCAGCCAGCGCTCGGGAAGAACTGCGTGTCCGCTCTCGCCCCACCCTCCTGAGGATTCCGCCCCCACTTCGGCTTCCCACTGGTGTTTCTGGTGCCCTCCTGCGTAGATCCCTGAGCGTAAGACGCTTACTAAAAAGGGCTCCGGAGGCTAGCTGGGCTCAAGCTTTCAAAAGCAGTGAGCTCGGCTGGTGTTGCCCAGTAGCTGAGCGCCGACTTATGAACCAGATAAGCCAGGTCACGGTTCGATTCCTGGTCAGGGCTCATGACTGGGTGTGGGCTTGATCCTTAGTGGGGGGCGTGCAGGATCAGCCGATCCATGATTCTCTCAACATGGATGTTTTTCTCTCTTTCTTCCTCTCCCTTCCTCCCTGAAATCATTTTAAAAAATATATTCAGCCCTGACTGGTTTGGCTCAGTGGAGAGTGTCAGCCTGCGGACTGAAGGGTCCCGGGTTTGATTCCGGTCAGAGGCATGTACCTTGGTTGCGGGCACATCCGCAGGAGGGGGTGTGCAGGAGGCAGCTGGTCGATGTTTCTCTCTCATCAGTGTTTCTATCCCACTCCTTTCCTCTCTGTAAAAAATCAATATCCATGGCTCCGCTGGGCACCACACACCTGCGTGGCCGTCAGCCTGCGAGCGTCCTCGCCACCAGGCCAGGCGAACTGGAGGCAGCTCCATCCGAGCCCCGGCCTTCCTCCCCTCGCTCACACAGAGAGCCACACGCCACAGGCCATCATCCGTGCTGCGACCATCAACGTCGTTAGGAAGACATACGAGGAGGAGACCCAGGCTGTGCTGAGAGCTCGGGGCAGAGGGCACCGGAGGCAGGGCCAGCGCTGGGATGATGACCTGTGGAGCGCCTGGAGGAGGACCACGCCACCCAGAACCTCTCCCTCAGAGAGCGAACAAGCAAGCAAACCAAACCCTCTGCTTCGTCTGTTATTGGCATTATAAGACGTGAACTAGGACGAGCGTGCTCAGGAAGACAGACAGCAAGAGGGACAGTTTTACGTGAGAAATGAAATCTTAGAGGCCTGGCACTGAAATGAGGAACTCAGAATGGGTCTAAGAGTAGTAAACCCATGCCCTGGCCGGGCAGCTCAGGGGGTAGAGCGTCATCTTGACACACCAAGGTGCAGGTCTGATCCCCAGTCAGGGCGCATACAAAGCCAACCAATGAAGGCATAAGTAAGAGGCAACAACAGGTAGATTCTATCCCCCCCCACCTCAAATCAGTAAATGAAAAGTGTTAAAAGAGTGATTGATTAAACCCAGAAGTACGAAAGGATGTAAAGTACAGAGAAGAGTGAGAGGGACAGAGGGAAGGTAAAGAGGGAAGGGGAGAAGTGGGTGTCTGGAAGGGGAGGGGAGGGGAGGGGAGGGGAAGGAGGGGAGGGGAGGGGAGGGGTGAAGAGGCGAGGGGAGAACTTAGTGAGGTGGGGGGAGCACTCCGACCTGCACAGGATAAACAGGCCTGCACGTTATCATCCTAAACGGCTAAAATCAAACCCGAAGCAAGTAGCGGCGGCTGTCAGCTGGCCCCTTCCGAGAACAACCGCCGCCCAGCCCGTACGGCAGCCTGGAAACCAAAAGGCAGGCAGCCCCCGCGCAGAGGAACTGAGCGGAGGGTCACCGGGCGCGGCTCGGGGGGAGCCAGCACTGGAAGGAGGGAGGGGGCTGTGGCTCCGGGGAAACTGCCCAGTGACAGCACGTCACCAGAGGGGGTGGGTGACAGACAATACTTGGTTCCTCAAAACAAGGCGCAAGGAGACCGTGTCCTACACAGACTGTGGACCGAGCAGGCATTAGAGGCCAGACGAGCGGGCGGCTGGGAGGACTGGAGCTGGGAGGACTGGGAGCTGGGAGGACTGGAGCTGGGAGGACTGAGAGCTGGGAGGACTGGAGCTGGGAGGACTGGAGCTGGGAGGACTGGAGCTGGGAGGGAAAGCTGGGAGGGAAAGCTGGGACAGATTCCTCAGGCAAGGAGAGCTCTGGAGAAGAGGGCTGTGCCACGAATTCTCCTCCAAGCACCTCGGGCGCACAGCAGGCAAATGGGCAGGAGCACTAGTCGTGGGCCAGGACTTGCTTTGACTTCCTGCCTGTTACTCAGAGGCCCAATTCCCAGCCACTGCTTTTAAGGAAAGGATCAGAGATCTTGGGCACAAATCCACATTAAAAGAAATCTGCCTGTTCAGTGTGGCTCAGAGGTTGAACATTGACCTCTGAACCAGGAGGTCATGGTTCAATTCCCAGTCAGGGCACATCCCAGGTTGTGGGCTCAATCCCCAGCGTGGGGTGTGCAGAAGGCAGCCAATCGATGTTTCTAATGTCTCCATCCCTCCCCCTTCCTCTCTCTAAAATCAGTAAGAATATATTAATCAAAAAAAAGAAACGTATTGGGTGCTGTTTAGGGCAGCAGCAGACTGGCTACAGTAAGGAACAAGTCAGAACGCACTCCTCTGAGGGAGCACCGCCAGGCATCAGAATACACCTTCCCAAGGACACGGGGCGACATGGGGTCCCGAGCCACGGCGGGCGGGCGGGCGGGAGCATGTGCACGCCTCACCCGGCGGGCACAGCGCGGAGGCGGCTGACGGGCCTCGGTGACCACCTCCTCCGGGGAGGCCCGCCCGGGAGGCGTCCTCACCTTGTCGTCCGCCTTGATGGAGCGCAGCCGCATGGTGAGCTGGAAGCGCAGGAAGTTGTTGGTGCCCATGGACTGCAGCTCCAGCAGCTTGCACAGCGCCACCAGCTGCGGCCGCGTGAGGTTATCCAGGGTCAGCTCGTCCTCGAACAGCTTGGAAAAGCGGATGATTTCCTCGTTGCTGGGCCTCTCTCCGGTCTCTCGGATCTGCAGGGGCAATGCTGAGTGTCACCCGTGATGGGCTTGTTCCCTGAGCATGCACACGCACACGCATGCACCCGTACACACACACACACACACACCCTCCCAGGCCCAGGGGCCAATCGCCCCAAGCGAGGAAATGAGGAGGACGGGGGCTCGGGGAGGGGCCGCCTGGACTATCAGGCACCACCTGGGAGCAGTCTCTAAGGCTCGGCCCCGGGACAGCCCAGCCCGAGGGGAGGCTGGCGACTGGAAGAGGCCTGCTGGGAAGGAGGCCCTGCCTCTCCCCCCACCTCAGCCATGGCTCAGTCCATCCTCTCCCCTGCCCCCCACCCTGGCTTATCACACTGTAGGGTCTTAGGTTCCTCGTTTGCCAAACTCTCCCTCGCCTGGGACTGCTGCAAAGTTGGAGGCACAGGCAAGTAACTGAACGACAGCAGGTTCAAGTTCTCGGAAAGAGGTTCAACTGGGGTGGAGGGAACCTCCATAGACCCGGGCAGCAGCTGCCCCCCCCCCCCGCCCGCCTGCCCACGGGAGCACCCCTGCTGCGACAGCAGAAAAAGGAGGATGGCAATGAGGACCACTCCCCGGGGAAGGCAGGTGGCCCGAGGCTCTAACCAGCACTACGGACAGGGCTGAGGCCACAGGGGCTCCGGAGCGTCAGGGCACCTTCTGGAAGAACAGGGAGAAGTCTTTGGTGGCGCTGCCCGTGGCCGCCTTGTTCTTCAGGGCCATCTCCTCGATGGTGTCCTGCAGGAACTTGGCCAGCTCCAGCTTGACCCGCAGCTCCTTCTTCAGCCGCTCCTCCTGCGGGCAGAGCCGGCACTGTCCTCTGCCCAGACCCTCCCCGCTGGCTGGGCACTCCTCCACTCCGCCTCACACTGCGCCCAGAGCGGCTGCAGAGCGGCCCCACAGCCCCCTGACCCAACAGGCCGGCCCCGCGGCTGGGCTGGCCCCGACCCCCCCCCCCCCCCGGTGGTCTCCCCCGGCCTGAAGACACGGGCCCAGAGAGAGTGCTGCAAACACCTCCGAGAGCGCAGCCCGCCCCGCCCCCGGTGATCCCCCATCCACCTCTACCCCCACCCCACCCCGGTGACCTCCCATCCACTCCCCTACACCCCCCCCCGTGACCACCTATCCACCCCCCTATCCCCATCCCACCCCCGGTGATCCCCCATCCACCCCCTACCCCCGCCCCACCCCCGTGACCTCCCATCCACCCCCCTACCCCCACCCCCGGTGATCCCCCATCCACCCCTACCCCCCACCCACCCCCAGTGACCTCCCATCCACCCCCCTATCCCCACCCCCGGTGATCCCCCATCCACCCCCCTACCCCCGCCCCACCCCCGGTGACCTCCCATCCACCCCCCCATCCCCACCCCACCCCGGTGACCTCCCATCCACCCCCCTATCCCCACCCCACCCCCGGTGACCCCCCATCCACCCCCCTACCCCCACCTCACCCCCGTGACCTCCCATCAACCCCCCTACCCCCACCCCACCCCCGGTGACCTCCCATCCACCCCCCTACCCCCACCCCACCCCCAGTGACCTCCCATCCACCCCCCTACCCCCCACCCCGCCCCCGGTGACCTCCCATCCACTCCCCTACCCCCACCCCCGGTGATCCCCCATCCACCTCCCTACCCCCGCCCCACCCCCGGTGACCTCCCATCCACCCCCCCATCCCCCCCCCCCCGTGACCTCCCATCCACCCCCCTATCCCCACCCCACCCCCGGTGACCTCCCATCCACTCCCCTACACCCCCCCCATGACCTCCCATCCACCCCCCTACCCCCCACCCCGCCCCCGGTGACCTCCTATCCACCCCCCTATCCCCCGGGTGACCCCTCCCTCCCCGTGGCAATCAGGGAGCACAGCGGAGCCTCACCTTGATGGACTGGGTCTCGAACGTGGACGGCAGCATGTTGGGGAAGAGCTTCACCACGACCGGCAGCAGGAACTCCATGAACGGCACCACGATGAACACCAGGAAGGGCACCAGGCGGAAGAGGTCCGCGCAGATCCGGAGGAACTGCCGAGAGCGGGGGTCAGAGGTCACGGTGCGGGTCCGCACGCCGGGAGCTCGTGCCACAGGCGACCCACAGAAAGGCGGGGCGCCCTCTGGGGGGCCTCAGAGAGCTGGCGGGGAGCTGACCCCACGTGTGGAGCAGCCCCAGCACAGGGGCCTCCGCCATCCCCCCACCCCGAGGCCCTGTCCCGGGACCAGGGGCCTGCTCTGAGGGAAACTGAGGAAAACAAGTGCTGCCCACAGGCTGGCCTGGCCGGACGGCCGCTGCCGTGCGCTGCTCTGGCTTTTCCAGAAAGGGTTCCGTTTAGGACTCCCCGGCACGGCCGTCATCGGAGGAAACCCAAGCATCCCCAGTATAAACAGGCCGCCGCGGCCGCCGCCAACAACGTGGCCCTGGAGGTCGTCAGACCCCAGGCGAGCGCGGCTTCCCTCCCACCGCTGCGGCCGGCGGGCTGCCCTCCACGCCCTCACCCCCAGCCCGCGGACTCTGAGGCTCTGGGGAGACGTCGCCCCTGCTGGGCTTGGGGCTGTCTCCCGCTGAGAACCCGCCCGCTTGCTGGGCGGGCCCACGCCCACCTCTCCCCAGGTCACCAGCCACGGTTTTCCACAGTCTGCGCCGGACGCTCCCAGAGAAGCGGCCTCCCCGCTCACGCCCTCTCCCCGCTCAGCTTCCTCTCCTGACATTCACTGTCTGTCTGTTATCAGAGCAGACGCGCGGACCCTACGTTTTCACTTGTTCACAATGCATCCTTGTTATTTTATGCTCGAGTGGTCCCAGATTCGGTCCTGGGAAGGCCTGTCCAGTGGGTGCCTGCGCTTTGTTTTGTTGTTAATTCTCACCCATGGACACTTTTCTGGTGATTTTCAGAGCGTGGGAGGGAGACAGCGAGAAACATGGATGTGAGAGACACTCACTAACTGATTGCCTCCCGCAGGTGCAACTGAGGATGTGCCTTGATCAGAATCAAACCTGCAACCCTTCAGTCCTCAGGCCAATGCTCTAACCACTGAGCCCGGCTAAGGTCAACTGTGTGTTTCAGGACAGCGCACACTGTCTTCAGTGAAGCAGCAGAAACCGTGACTGCCACACAGAACGGGACAGGGACAGACGAGGACCTGGGCCACACAGCCTTCTCCTGTGATCCCTCAGAAGGCAGCGTGCATGGTAACCGTGTCCACGAACACCCATTAGGAGACTCTAATCCCACTGGCCTTCAATCACCCCCTGCACCCTCCTCACCAGCACCCCTGGGCTCCAGCCGGCGAGCACACCGTGCTGTCAATGGACCCTGAGCGCAGCACAAAGCCGGAGCCAGTGCTCACGAGCAGCCCCGCTGTGACCAAGGCCCTCTTCTCACGGAGGAGCCTGGCGTCGGCCTTGAGGGAGGACACTCCTGTGCTCCCCTCGCTCCGAAGCCCTGAGGGCTGGAGGCTGCCCTGTGCCCTGGGGCTCAGCACAAACGAAAGACAACGGGGTCCGGGAGCACAGATCCCCAACAAGCCACGCAAACAGCCTCGGAGGAGGCGCACAGCCCAGCGACAATGGACAGCAACACGACGACAAGGCAGGTCGCAGCCCACGAGAGGCCGCTCAGACGGAGCCCGGGGCGGAGCAGCAGCCAGAGGACAGGCTCAGGCAGCGGCCAGCCGGCGGGGCGGGGCGGGGCGGGGCATTACCTGCCTGCGCTCGCGGCGGGTCAGCGTGTGCCCGTTGAGGATGCGCCAGAGCATGCGAGCGGCGATCTTGGTGTCGATCCAGAGCAGGCGGAAGCCGTGGTAGTAGTGCTTCAGCTCGTCCAGCACCCGCTGCCCCAGGGACTTCTTCACTGCCACCTCCGCGGGGGGGCTGTACACCGGCCCGCCCTCCTCCAGCTTCTTGTTCTTGTCCTTGAGGGACTTGAGCGACTTCTCCACCACCGAATCGTCACGCAGCCTGGGCGAGGAGTGCCAGCAGCGTGAGGGCAGGAGCCACGGCGGGGCCACCAGCAGGCCCGCGGAGGCCGGGGCACACACGTGCCGGGGCCTCCGAGTCCAGCAGCCCAGGGGGTCGCCTCCGAAGGAGAGCTGCACGGAGTGGACAGGAGCACAGCCACCCAGCGGGACACGCCTGGAAGGAAGAGAGGAAACAGCCATGTCTCTGACTCCCCCTCCCCCACGCACCCAGTCTTCCCAGCGCACAAAGCACACCCCACCACTTCCCTCCAGAGCAGGGTGGGTGGAGGAGCTGCCCCCTGAGCCACAGGGGCTGGGCCTCACGTGGGCAGGCTGGACACAAACACAGTCAGCAAAAGCCGAGCCAGGAACAGACACCCTCAGCTCTGGGTGGTCTCCAAGGCCCGTTCCCACAAGCTGAGAATCTGGGGGGATGGGGGAGGGATGGAGCAGGCAGACCCTCTCTCCAGCAGGTGGCCTCCTACAAAGACCTGCCATTCCTGAACAATCCCGAGGAGCAGCGAGGACGAGGACAAGGACGGACAGTAAACGATGGCCCAGACCATCCCCAGTCCCAGAGGTGTCTGTGCAAACGGCAAACACCCAGCGAAGCCTTCGCCATGCCCACTGCCTCCACCCGGCCCCTCACAGCTCCCCTCGCCCAGCAACAAGCAGGGCTGCTCCCTCAGGCCGCCTGGCCCACAGCCCTGTCCTCCTGGCCCATGACACGCAAACTCATCGCACATGCTCCGTTCGCCTGCACCGGGCTCATGAGCCCCTGGGAGATCGCAGGGGCTTCTGAATCGGAGCACCTGAGCCTCTCCATCCACACGCAGGCCCCAGGGCGCCGGGCTGTGGCCACCAACGCAGGCCAGGCTGATCCCCGGGCCTGCTCCCTGGAGGAAAGCTGGGAATGTCTAGTTCAGAACAAACTCGCAGCTCATAGTGGGCAGGGGCAGCTGGCACAGGGCACCACCACCACCCCCGCCCCGCCACCTCTTTCTGTCCCTCACAGCCTCCTTGTCCTGACTCTCAAGGCCCCAGGGACAGGCTGCCATGAGCACAGGAGGGCTGCTCGGGCTCGGCTGTCCCCTGACCACTGCAGCAGTGAGACTGTCGTGCCTGTCCGGTGGCCCAGGCTCCCCTCACCATGCGGGGGACAGTGTCCACACACAGATCAACCTTCCTCCTGGCCTCAGCAAGCTTAAGTACCCACTTTCCACCCCTCCCTTTGCCAGAAGCCAATGGCTTCCAGGAGAAGGCGTGACATCAGCCGTCGCCAAGAGACGTGGGCAGATGTGGGGAGTTAGCCTGAGCTGAGAAGCGCATGGCCTCTGACTTTAAGCATGATAGAGGTTGCTACGAACACTCTAGCCAGAAGGGTGAGCTGTTTTCAAAAGCTAACGGTGTCATTTGTTATTTAAAACTTCTCAACCAAACCCATCTGGGCACTGCCACCGTTCTGGGGGCGGCTGGGACAGAGGGCATCGTCAAGGCTGCCCCTGCTCTGCCCAAGCCCACAGAGCGCCCGCATCCCGAGAAGCACGGCTCCGCCCGCACCAGCCTCCACACCTGTTTCTCCCTCCCCTTCCCAACAGGCCACCTTCCGAGGGAGCCCGGTGAGAGCTGCACGTAGCAGGGAGCGTTCACGGAGGAGGCCCTCTCAAACAGGGGGGGGGGGGGGGGGCGCTCACTGTGAGTTTTTTTTTTTTTTTTTTAAATATATTTTATTGATTTTTCACAGAGAGGAAGGGAGAGGGATAGAGTTAGAAACATCGATGAGACAGAATCATCAATCAGCTGCCTCCTGCACACACCCTACTGGGGATGTGCCCGCAACCAAGGTACAGGCCCCAGACCGGAATCGAATCCGGGACCTTTCAGTCCGCAGGCCGACGCTCTATCCACTGAGCCACACCGGTTTTGGCTCACTGTGAGTTTTACTTCAGGACATGAACCGCCATCCCTCCCAGAAATGAGAGACAGGCAGCGCCTGGCAGAGCAGGGCTTGTGGTGCCGGCTGCACAGGCCACTGAGCTCCTGGCACATGTCCCCTGGAAGGGGCAGCCCACCAAGACAATGGCCTGCGGCCTGGACACCACTGTCCTTCGGGGACACCATGCCAGCAGGACAGGGCAATGTGATGCCAGCAGCACCGTGACTACAAGTACGGCCCAGAAGGGCGGGACACCTCTCTGCCCAAGACGGGAGAAACCACAGCCTGCAGCTGGGGAGCCAGCCACCACAGCACCTCATGCCTGCCAGAGGCCCAGGCCCTGCGACACCCGCCAGCGACACCCTGGCGTGTGCAGGGAGCACCTGGCGCCAACATAGCCGGCGTGTGAACAGCCACACCACGCGAGGCGTAAGGGCACAGACAGCCTCCCACTGCTCAGGTGCTCCCCCAGAATGAGCTTTCAAAGCCGCTGCTTGAGTCTCGTCCTCAAAGCTGTGTGCCCGCCCTGTGACCTCTGCGGAAAGGCCAGGGGCAGCGGTGTAACGCCCACGACGAGGTCGCAGACCAGAAACTCCACCTGCCCACCCACCCGGTCTGGGCCATTTCAACCAAAGATTGAGACGGCAAAGCAACTAACACAGATGGTTATTTACCCCCTCAGATTCTTACCTGTGCGACTCAGGACTTCTTATGGTGTGCGATCAAAGTGAGAAGTAAAATTTTGAATGCTAAAAAGGACATGAGATTTTGCCTCTCTTCTATAATTCCTAATTTGAACCTACTGTTTAACTTTCTAAAGAAAGTGTTTAACTTTCTAAAAATTGTGAACTTAAAAAAATATCAATAAAGCACAGCCTTTATATTTTAACTGTGCACCGGAGGGGTCCCTTAGCCTGGCCGACGCCCTCTCGCAATCCAGGACCCCTTGGGGGGATGTCAGACTGACAGTTCTGGCCCAATCCCTGAGGGACCCCACTAGTGCACGAATCCGTGCACCAGGCCGCTAGTATGCATGTGAGATCTTTGGTTAGTCTCTTCCCGCCCTCCCCCCTTCCCTCTGAGATTCATCAGACTGCTCCATGTTTCCATGCCTGTGCATTGAGCGTCTGCCCCCTGGTGGTGAGTATCATAGCTAACTGTTGAATGGTGCTTAGGCGCTATGAACCATGAGTGTGAATATATTTGGATCTTATAAGTTCTCGACAAAGTCAATACCCGTTGATAATAAAAACTTTAAAATGAGAGGAACGAGCTACCGTCACACACGGCAGTGCACACCAGGCTCTGTGCTGAGTGAGGATGCGGCATGACCACAGCTGTCCTGGCCACAGGTCTGGCTCCCGAGGTGGGGACTCAACCTCACAGCCAAGGCGTGCGGAGGACGAGGCCAGCACTAGCCACAGAGGCCACAGCAGCAGCTACCGATGCTCAGTGGGGCTGTGTAACCCGCCAGCCCAGGAATCAGATGTCCCGAGTAAAGACCACCACTCTGGTCACACCTTGAATTGTCTGAAAGGCAACTGTATAACTTTCTACAGCAAGTGTTTCTAAAGAAAGTGGATGTGGTCAATATGAAGAAACAGACATACCTTCCCCTGAGAGAGAGAAAAGAACTTAATAAAATTACTTTCTCCAGGAACACCATATATGAATTTAAAGCTGCCCTGCGCGTGCTGCTCCGTGATTGAGTTCTGTTCCCGGTCAGGGCATATACTAGTACATGGGCTGCCCTCTTGTATGCCCTCTGACCAGGCATCGAATCAACCACCTTTTTGGCGTATGAGATAATGCTCCAACTAACTGAGCCAGCCAGCCAGCGAGAGAAATGTTAACTTTATCATCGATTCCAGCGAGGAAGGGAGAGGGAGAGAGAGAATCACTGATCAGCTGCCTTCCGCACTCCCCCACTGGGCATACAAGAGGGCAGATTTTATGGATTTAATGGCATTTCACTTACAATTCCAAGAAGACCATTTTAGAACTGAAGTCACGTCGCTGGGGGACAGTCCAGAGAGGAGGTGGGAAAGGCCTGGCCCGAGACAAGGGCTGGAGAGCCAGCAGGAGCAGCAGCGCCACAGGGACAGGCCCTGGTCTGCAAGCCCTGGGCCCGATCAGCGGCCCTGGGGCTGCTCTTGCGGGTGAGCCCAGCCGCACAGCCGCCCCTACCTTGTCTGGCCGTGAGGACTCCAAACCAGCGACCACTCACCCAGCACCGACTGCCGGCTGTCTTCCCTGGGGCCACTTCCTCGAGCACCAGGACCAGACCCCCTGGCCGCCAGGCCCCTCGTTTCCTACCCACAGGCCCAGACCCTCGAAATGCCCCCAGTGCACTTCAGAATGAACGCTACAAAGACAGAGGTCAAGATGTCCGATGTTCACACACCGAAGGCTCCACGTCCTAACAAGAGGGCCCTGCAGTCCTGTGGCCACAGACATGGAACAGAAATCAGGAGCCGGGAGCACTCTGGCTGCGGGGAGGGCCGTGGGGCTGCTGTGGGGCTGGACTTCTACACAGACTCTGTCGAGTCCCCTCGAAGGCTATGCTTCTGCGGTTCTGCCACACTGACACGCGCACATGCGTGGGCAGCTGCTCGTGTGAGTGCTTTATAAAGTCTGAAATGAGAATATGCTTGAGTACAATTTTGCTTTAACAACAACCAAGTTTTGGTTGTTTGGGGCATGCAGGAGGCAGCTCATCATTGATGTTTCTCTCACCTCTCCCTTCCTCTCTGAAATCAGTACAATTATATTAAACCATATACATGCATTTTTGTGTGTATGTGTTTTTTTTAAAGAAGCAGGAACATAAAGACCAGAAGAGTAGGAGACACTGCTCCCAGATGGAGAGATCACATCATTCGAGCGGCACCCGAGGCAGACAGGCTTACTTACAGGCGGCTTATCAGCCCCATGGTGTTGGCACAACTGAGGCACGCTCGGTCCCCCGGACTTCCTGCAGCAAAACAAAGGAAACAGTCAGTGTCAGCCAGGCGCTGCATGAGACCCCTCGGCGGTCTGAGGGAGCGCCTCTCTTTTTAAGGGAAGCTGCTGGGAGCCTGCTTGCGTGCTGAAGAGTTCAGGGTGCTGCCAGGTGAAGGGTTTGCTGGGAGGACACGGTGTCTTGGGGTGGCTTTAGATGGGAAGGGGAGTCTTGAGTCAGCTCCTGGCTCCTCACCCAAGTGGGGACTCAGCCTGTGCCAGCCAAAGGCCCGGGGAATCCAGCTTCAGGCCCCAGGGGGACAGCTCCCTGCTGGCTCCAGCTGGGTTCTGGGGGGCAGAGCCAGAATGAACATGACCCGCAATGCACAGGCAGCCCCACAGTGCGAGCAAGGCCACATCCAAGGGACCCACCTCCCCTGCCCAGCGGAGGGGGCGAGGGCTGAGGGTCACAGAAAATCCAGTGCCCAGAGGAAGCCACTTCCTGTTCACACACTGATGAGCACGTGCCGCAATCTTAGGGTCTGGCTGCATCTTGACCCTTTCTCTAACTCACGAGTCCCCTCAGCATAAATGCAGGGTCGCCCACAGGACCAGCTTTCGGGCCTCCTGTGGGCAGGCCCTGTGCCAGGAACAGCCTGAGGGGACAGGACAGTCCTGAGCCTACGGGGTGCAGGCGGAAGCCTGGGCTGCTGGCAGTGCGGCCGGCAAGGCGGGAGTGCCTGGAGCCGACGCTGGGGCTGCGGAGAGCCAGCGCTGGGCCAGCAAAGAGAGAGGGCGACCGGCCAGGGCCGACCGCTCTAGGCCCCGGGGCGCAGGCCAGCGAGGTGGACCCTCTGAGGACGTGGACTCCAGCTGCCACCGTGTAATTCGATAGCAGATGGTGTCAACACCAACAAGTCTCACTTTCCTGTGCAGAAAGCTCTTCCCATCAAACATTAAATTTAGTCTTGCTGTGGATGTCAGCCTCGTTGTAAGTTGGCTGGGCTCACAAGCTCCATCACCGTGATTCACAGAGGAACCTTCTCTACGTCACATGGGGCATTTCTGTGAAAGTTACACAGCACACGGCAAACACGCCTCTCCAGCTGGGGAGCCCCCAGTTGGCTCCCCAAAGAAGTCTGCCCCTCACCCCTGGCCTGTCCCCCTGCCTGCCCAGGCCAGCCCCCCGCCTCAAGTTGGCTCAGAAATGGCTCCCCACCTGCACATGCCCCCCAGCCAGCCAACAAGCTGCCATAGCTCGAGGCGGCATGAATTCACCCCCCCTTCCTGCGTCCTCCCCTCCCCAGACTCTCTGCCCGCCCCGCCCCTGCAGCAGGGAGGTGCCCTATGGACGCTCTTTCTGGAAGTCCTTTTGTGCTGCTTTTCCCACAACCAGCTCCCCACACCAGCTGTGTGTCCTACCCTTCAATGATGACATTACCCGGGGTTAGTACAGACCCCAAGTCACAGAAACCGCCCACCCTTCATACGTGTCAGTTGTAAGGAGGGTCCCCAGGCTGCCCACATTCTACCAACTACAAATTCAGGGGTTCCCATGAACTCCTCACACTTTTTCTTTTTTTCTTTATTGATTTCAGAGGAAGGGAGAGGGAGAGACAGAAACATCAATCATGAGAGATAATCACTGACTGGTCTCCGGCACACATCCTAGAGGGGATCGAGCTGCAACCAGGGCCTGTGCCCTTGACCGGAATTGAACCCAGGACCCCTCAGTCCGCAGGCCAACACTCTACCCACTGAGCCAAACCAGCTAGGGCTGAACTCCTCGCTCTTGACAATTTGCTAGAATGACACCGAACTCAGGAAAGTGCTCTCCTTGTTACTGCTGCTTATTGTAAAGGACACAGTGGACGCCCAGATCAGGGGGCACAAAGCTCCCGGCCCAGCAGCCCTGAACGCAGAAGCCCCCGTCCCAGAGTTGTACCCTCACTGCCTGGGGTGACTGGCCATTGGCGACTAAGCTCAATCTCCAGGCCCACTTCTCGCTGGAGGCTGGGGTGGGGCAGGAAGGGCCAACAGCTAATCACAGGTGCTTCATTAGCATAAATTCAGGTGAGAGGGAAAGTGGCTCATTTACATCACCTGAGCACCCTGATCACTCATGAAATTCCTCCCACCAGCGTGGCGCAGGGGCTGAGGGTCGATTTATGAACCAGGAGGTCATGGATTGATTCCCGGTCAGGGCACATGAGGGTGGCAGGCTTCATCCCCAGTGTGGGGCGTGCAGGAGGCAGCCAATCGGTGACTGAGGACTGTCTCTCATCATTGAGGTTTCTATTTCTTTCCCCCCCTCTCCCTTCCTCTCTGAAATCAATAGAACATATGAGGGGGAGAGGGGAGAATGAGAAACATCAATGATGAGAATCATCAATTGGCTGTCTCCTGCACGACCCATGCTGGAGACTGCACCCTCAACCCAGACATGTGTCCTTGGTGAGACTCGAACCAGGGGACCCTTCAGTCCACAGGCCAGTGCTCTATCCACTGAGCCACACCAGCCAGGGCCTATGTATATATTTTAAAATATGAACAAGAAATCCCCAGGGCTTTTGGAGCTCTGGCAAGAACTGGGGAGGGCACAGAGACCACGTGCGTTTCTTCCCATCCCACCCCTCTCTTCACTGGGCCCGATTCTCTCCGCCAGCTGCTGCTCCCGCTGCTCCAGGCAGCTCCTCTCCACCCGCCTCCAGCTCCCCGTGGCACTCCGCACCCGAACACCTGCAGGTGCACTGGACCAGGGCCCATGGGCACTGCCTTCAACAGCTCTGAGACCTCCAGCTCCCCGCCTGCTCCCGAGTCCTCCGTTTCAGCAATGGCCCGGGGCTGGAGCCTCCCTTTTGGGCGCCTGCCCCTGCTCTCACACGCAGGCCTTGGGGAACCCGGTCTGCCCACCTGCAGGCAGCCCAGGCCCACTCCAAGCATGAACTGCACACAGCACTTCCTCCAGCGAGTATGGTGTGCAAATGGGGGGCGGGGCGGGAGCAAAGGGGGGGTGACTGCAGAATAGAGGAACTGGCGGGCACCACCTTAGCCCTGCCGTACCTCACACTGACAACATGCACCCCGATGAGATGTGATGAGGGACTTCACCTCAATGGTCCCCTCCCCCAACCCCACACCCATTGCACCCATGTGAGAACGGGATACACCCCACAGAGGGGCATCCTGCAGCGAATCCCCCAGTCCTCCCAGTCCTCCCACAGCCACGAGGGAGCTACAGAGAAACGTGATGGAATGCCCCGTGGTCCAGGGATGCAGAGAGCACGTCAGAAAAAGCGTGTGCAGGGCAGGAGGAGTGTGTGACAGGGAAAAAAAAAAAAAAAAGTATCAAATAAAGGAAATGCAAGCCAGCCTGGCCCACAGCTAACAAAGTTTCAACACTGGTTTAGCAACTGTAGCCAAGTACACCATGTCAGATGTCAGATGTCAGGAGCGGGGCCATGCCCTCCAGAAAAAGGGCCACAGCAGCCAGGGGGGGTCCGGGGGGAGCCAGGGGGAGCCTCCCCCCTGCTCGCCCCCCCTCCCCCGGTCACCTCCCGGTGTCTGCGTAACCGGGAACATAACCACAGGGAACACTCGTGTTCCCGACATGACAGCGCAGGCACACAGCGCGGCCGGCGCCAGCCCGTCAGCGGCCAGGACGGTGGCGGCCAGGGCACTGTCAGCGCCCTGCACGGGCAGCCCTTCCCGGCCGCCGCTCCAAAGGTCCGCGCAGCCAGCCAGCAGCGCGATTGAAAAATCACCAAACCGCGTCTTTGGAGGCTCCTGGTCAGCGGCCAAGCGCCCAGAGCAACATCCTTCCCTGAGTCCCCGCCTTACGGGGCGAGTGCGCCCTCCGCTCGGCCCGGCAGGAAGGGACAGACCGGGGCGGGGGTCCATGCAAAAGGGAGGCGCCAGGGGGGCCCTCAGGGCACAGCTGGGAGCGCGGGCGGCCCCCGCACCGGCCGCGGCCACCCCGCCCGCCCCAGGTCCCGCCCGCCGCGCCCGCCCCCCCCGCCGCCTCGCCTCAGCTCGGGAGCCCGGGAAGCGGCCCAAGGACACGGCTGTGCTCGTGATGGGCGCCGCGTTCCACGGCGCTGAGCCGCGAGCAGCGGGCGCGCCCGGGGGAGACGTCAGCGCGCTCCCCGCTCCCCGGCGCTGTCCTCGCCGCGGCGGCGGGCGGCTAAGGTCACGGCGGATGAGTCACGGGCCGCCGCCGGCCTCCCGGCGCCCGGCACCCGCCCGCACCCGGCCCGCACCCGGGGCGTGGCGCGGGGCAGGGCGGCCGGGCCCAGCGGCGTGCCCACGCCCGCCGCGTCCCGGCGCCCCGGCCGCCGCCGGGAGCCCCCTCGCCCGGCTCGGCGCCTCGGCCCCCGGCCCGCGCCGTCGGCGGAGCACTCACCCCCGCGGGCGGCGGCGTGGGGCGCCGGGAAGCGGGCGGGCCCCCGGCTGCGGCAGCTCCTCAGTAAGATGGACGCCATGTGCCCGGCGGCGCCCGCCTCCTGCGGCGGCCTCCTCCTCCTCCTCCTCGCCGGCCTGGCGGCGGCTCGGCCCGCCCGCGCGGACGGTTGAGGCGGCGGTTGGCTGCCGGCGGCGGGCGCTCAGCTCAAGGACCCGGCACCGGCGGCGGCCATGTCCCGGCACAGACGTCCGGCGGCGCGGGGCGGGGCGACCGGGCGCCGCTCCCATTGGGCCTCTCGGGCGCCCGCCGCCGGCCAGGTGAGGGCGGTCCCGGCGTGCCCCGCGCCGGACTACGGGTCCCGGCGTGCCCCGCGGCCCTGCCCCGCGCGGTGCATTCTGGCCCTCGGTACGCCGCCGCGCACGCGCAGAGGGAGCTATGGCGCATGCGTCGGGGGGAGGCGGGGGAAGAAGGAGGCTTTTTCCGCGTCCGGAGGCGGCGGGCCTCGGGGGCGCGGTGGACTGGACGCTGCGGGGACGCGCGCGGACGGCCCCGCCGGGCCTGGGGAGTCCGGCCCCGCCGCGCTGTGGTTGGCCTCGGCGCCGTGGGGCTGCGGTGTCGCAGCGGCGGCCAGCGCCTCACCGCACGCCTGGTCCGCCGCCCGGCCTCGTGTCCCGCCCGGCTGCCCATCCCCCGCCCGGGACGGGGCCTCGGGAATTCCCGCCTGCGCCGGCCCCACCCGCGGGCCGCCCCGCCGAGCCCCAGCGAAGCCAGGCTTCCCTTGGAGGAGCTCACGCTCGCGGGGGTCGGCGAGATCACGCCGGGAGAGCGGCCGGGGGCGTGGAGCCGGTCCCCCCTGCACGCTGCACCCCAACCCTGTCGCACCTGGCTGTCTCCTGGGCCTCGCCTCACTGCTCTTCTCTCCCGCCCCATGCGCCTGGGCACGTGTTCTCTGGATGCACGGGGTGGACGCCTGGGCCCAGCAGGCTCCCTAGTCCTGAGCTCCCCCAGCTCCTGCTGGCACCATCCGGAAGGAGCAGTAGCCCTGCCATCGTTCTGAGTCAGAACTGCCAGGTGCTGGGCCAGGATTGGCCTGCTGTCCTCATCCCGGTTGGGAGAAGGTGGTGCCAGCCAGTGCAGGGCACTTTGAAAATGACATGAAGTGCCTGAGTGGGCACTGGGCGCCATACCGTCAAATGCGAGCTAATCTAAGCACATGTGCCAGAAACCCAGACTCCACTGCCCAGGAGTGACCCAGCCAGGCCCTTTGCCGGCCCATCCACCCAGGAGCCAAGGGGTGTAAGGAAGGACAATCCTGGTTCCTGCGCCCAAGGTCAGGCCTGCCATGGGGGAACAGGCCCTCGGGGGTGGACAGGATGGCATTTTAGTGCCCAAAGTGTGCAGGCATATGTTTGCCCTAGTGCCTTAGCTGACAGCCCCAGGGGCAGGGAGGTGAGGGCCCAGAGAAGGTCCCCGCTGATGCTGAGGGGTCCCCGCTGGCCCCAGACAGGACTGAGCAGGAGGCAGTGGTGGAGAGCCGGTCAGGAGTGTCTGCAGGACTTGGAAAGACATGGGTTGGGGAGGTGAGGAGAAAGCCCCCACCGGTGTTGCCAAGGCTCCAGCCTTTAAAAAAAAAAAAAAAGAAAGAAAGAAAGAAAAGAAAAGAGAGAAAGAAAATGCAGCCACACTGCTCACTTGCCCTTGAGATGACCCCGGGGCCCGGCCCAGTGAGGCAGGGGGAGAAGTAAGCAATAGGGTCCCCACAGGGGCACTGTGTCTGGGGTGCTGGGCACCACCCATGAGTTCTCTGCAGCCCAGGCTGGCTGGAGCGTCAGAGAAACTAATTTATTTTTCTTTTTTTCTTTTTTTAATGTTTTTATTCATTTCAGAGGGGGGGTGGGGAGAGAGAGAAACATCAATGAGAGAGAAGCATTGCTCAGCTGCCTCCTGCACGCCCCCTCCTGGGGTTCAAGCCCACAACCCAGGCTTGTGCCCTAAGACTTCAACCCTGACCTCCTGGTTCCTAGATCAGTGCTCAAGCACTGAGCCGCGCCAGCTGGGTGAGAAATGCACTCTTCAACAGTGTGTTTATTGGGTTTGCTGGTTATCTAAAGAACCTGTGCTCAGCCCTAACCGGTTTGGCTCAGTGGACAGAGCATCAGCCTGCGGACTGAAGGGTCCCAGGTTCGATTCCGGTCAAAGGCATGTACCTTGGTTGCGGGCACATCCCCAGTAGGATGTGTGCAGGAGGCAGCTGATCGATGTTTCTCTCTCATCGATGTTTCTAACTATCTCTCTCCCTTCCTCTCTGTAAAAAAATCAATAAAATATATTTTAAGCCGAAACTGGTTTGGCTCAGTGGATAGAGCGTCGACCTGCAGACTGAAAGGTCCCAGGTTTGATTCCAGTCAAGGGGCCTGTACCTTGATTGCGGGCACATCCCCAGTAGGGGGTGTGCAAGAGGCAGCTGATGGATGATTCTCTCTCATCAATGTTTCTAACTCTCTATCCCTCTCTCTTCCTCTCTGTAAAAAATCAATAACATTTATAAAAATACATATTTAAAAAAAACGTGTGCTCATAGTAGCTATTTCAAGTTTACAAACGAGTATAAATGAACAAGGAAGTAGCCATACGGCGTCCGACCATCTGCCCTAAGTCACCTAATACCACACCAGCAGCTGTCTTCCCGCCCTGCATCCACCCCACCGTCCAAGGACGCAGAATCGGGGCACAGACGCTTTGTTTTAATGTCATGGGTTCTTTTTGCCTTTTTCTCTTTATGTGGGGCTCCCTTTTCCCCTCTCCTGTGGTCCCCACAACTCCTAATAACCTTCCATAATTGCTGTGCATTTCCCCCAGGGACAAGAGTAGAGAGAAACGGGGTGGGAGGGTCCCCAGGACCGCTCCAGTTAGGGGCCAGATCAGGCTACGATGCGGTCAGGAGGCAGGTTAGGGATCGAGGAGCCCGCGGAAGACTCCGAGGGGCTTTGAGCTGTCCATCAGCCACACTCGGATGCAGAGCAGGTGCAGTTGGATTGGAGCAAGTTGTAGTTTTGCCCAAAAGCATGATGGAGGAAGAGGGCGGGGCCATGGAGTCCAGGTGTATGCAAGGGTGACTATGAGGCTGGGTGGGAAGTCTGAGCTGGGAGGAGAAGGAGGGAGGAGGAGGTGGAGGGGGTGGAAGGTGACAGCATCGCTGGCCTGGGGGCCTGGGGGGCCTGCAGGAGGTTTGGAGGTTTGGGTCCCAGAGGGAGTGAGCTGGCCAGAGAGGGGGGCTTGGAGCTAGAACAGGCGGCCCCTCCTCCGTCTGCTTCCCTCTGCTGGCAGGCGCTTAGGACTGGAACAGAGGAAAGGAGCCAGGACAGCGGCCGGCCGCACTCTGTCGGTGTGGCCGAGGAGCTGCTTCTCTGTTGTTTCTGTGTCGAAGGGGTTTCTGTGTCTAAAACCCGAACATGGCGCCTGGCTTCAAGGCAGATTTGGGAGGCGGGTTCGTTGGGCAGCGTGGCTGCAGAGGCATGTTTTTGTTGTTTGTTGTTAATATTTTTCCCAATGATTTTTTTTTAAATTTATTTAAAATATATTTTTAGCCCTAGCTGGTTTGGCTGAGTGGATAGAGCGCCTGCCTGTGGACTGAAGGGTCCAGGGTTTGATTCCGGCCAGGGTTGTGAGGGTGTGCAAGAGACAGCCGGTCAATGATTCTCTCTCATCACTGATATTTGTATTTCTCTCTCTCTTTCCCTCCCTCTCTGAAATCAATAAAAATATATATTTAAATATATAATTTTTAAAATATATTTTATTGATTTTACACAGAGAGGAATTGAGAGGGATAGAGAGTTAGAAATGTCGATGAGAGAGATACATCGACCAGCTGCCCCTTACACCCCCCACCCCTACTGGGACGTCCACTCCCTTGACCGGAATCGAACCCGGGACCTTTCTTTCAGTCCGCAGGCCGACGCTCTATCCACTGAGCCAAACCGATTTCGGCTAAATATATATATATTTTTAATTGAAGGAAAAGGAGAGAGAGAAACATCAATGATGAGAGAATCATTGATCGGCTGCCATCCCCCACACACACACCACCACCTTCTGGGAATGGAGCCTGCAACCCCGGGCATGTGCTCTTGACCGGAACTGAACCGACCCTTCAGTCCACAGGCTGACGCTCTATCCATTGAGCCACACCGGCCAGGGCCAGAAGAGCCCTTTTGTCAACATCTAATGGCTTTTGTTTTCAAACGGAAACTGTCCCAGTTTCACTTCATGGTGTTAAAGTGCAGTGGTGTCCGCAAGGGAGCAGCCTGCCGAGGTGGGGTGGTCCCAGCCAGGGCTGCCGCCGTGACCGGCTCCTTTCACCCGTGGGAGGCGGGGAAGGCCGGGGGGCCGCCGGGAGCAGCTGGCGGGAAGGGGCTGTGCAGGCTCTACGTCTGGCGGCGGCTCTGTGTCTGGCTATTTTTAAAACACGGTGATTGAGTTGAACAGAAAGTGTAGCCGCTGATGTCCTCCCCGGAAGGAGCTCAGTGTGAAATGGCTGTCAGCGCCCGAGACGGGCCCCAGGGGGAGCGCTGACTCCTGCTCCTGTTTGAGGCGATGCTGCCTTTGGGTTGTGGCCAGGGCCCTGGTGTGCTGCGGGCTGCTCTCCCGGGAGCTCCGGCCGCTCACACCGCAGAGGTGGTGCTGACCAGGGCACGCCTTGCCTGCCTCCACTCAGTCACCTCTGAATGAACTAATGGGATGGGGTGGGCTGTGCTATTTTATTTTATTTTCTGTTTTGTTTTTTAGGAGTTTAAGTCTTTTTATTTTAATTTTTAGTAAATCATCACCCTGGGATACTTTTCTGTTGATTTTATTTTTAGAGAGAGTGGGAGGGAGGGGGAGAGTCGAGAAAGAGAGAAACATTCATGTGAGAGAGACACACAGATTGGTTGCCACCCGCACACTCCCCTTGATCAGGGCCAGGGATTGAGCCTGCAACTGAGGTACATGCCCTTGACCGGATCCTAACCCAGGACCCTTCAATCTGCAGATCGATGCTCTATTCACTGGGCCAAACCAGCTAGAGCGCTTTCTAGT